ATTTTTCATCCAAAAGTATTATTGTATATTTTTCTGGAATATATATATATATATATATATATATATATATATATATATATATATATTCCTGATCACCATTTTCATCTGCAACCTCATGAGTTATGATGTCATCTTCGTTGTCACCCTCATCTGCAACCTCAATTATGATGTCATCTTATCAAAATTGACAAGCCTCGAATATTATGGAATCGATCATGTATCAATATTTACTGATTTATCCTCGTGAAAGCGATCCATTCCACCTGGGTCCCTCCCTATTGGTCAATTGTATTTTTAATTCCTGAATAAGTTAATTATTTGTGTTTTTTTCAAACACTTCAAAGGATTAAAAAGTTTTCTACTTCTCATCCATACCATCTATACTTATTTATAATAATTCTAAAGATGTTCATTAATAAGTCAATTAGGTTTCACGGGCTGAGGCTCAGTTTTACTCCAAATTGGGCTAGCCCTTGGCCCGACATTAGCCCAAATAATTTTTCTATTTTTATGAGTTTCTTTATTTTAATTTTCTTTTAATAAAATATCAAAAAATACATTAATAAATATGTATCTTTCTTATATAATAGTTTGAAAATAATTTTAAAATTTCTAAACTCATTTTATTTAATTATATGATTTTTTTTTAATTATTATGCCTTGATCGAGCTCGTCGGGCCCGTCAACATAGAATGAAATGAGCTAAGGGGCCGGCCTGGGCTCATGGTGTCGCTCCCTGAGCCGGGACGGGCGGGCCCGTGAAAGGTCAGGTGGGCCGGACCATCTTCAATGGGCCGCGGCCGAGCCGGGTGGACCATTTGTTCACCACTAATTTAATCCTTCAAATAAGTATTTATCTTGAAACAAACCTCTTGCATAAATTGAAAGTACTCTAGTATTTAAAAATTATGCATCTTAGATAGGGACTTATCTACTCATGGATATGTGAGTAGGGGTGGCAATCAAATTCCCGACGATTTCAATCCGAACACTTTGGAAGTGAATTATTTTGTTCCGACTTCCAAAATTCTGCTTTCCAATTTTTTCCAAAAAAATTATGTCTAAATTGGAATTAATAATAAAAGTTTTGAACCTCCGATCATTCCAAAATATAAATAGCATTAGTGCATATTTATACTTGCTAAAATAAAATCACTACCCCCATTAAGCATTTGCCTCACTTCATCAAACAAAATAGACTCACCATGGTCACAACTTACAACCCACCCCCCAGCTATTTTCATCTCAATTTCACCAACTATTTAATTCTTTTTAACCTATAACTTAATTTTGACCATCGATGTACTTAACTTTTTTATCTGCCTCTAATTAATATTAAATAATAAATTATATATTTACTTGTCTTGTAAATATTAAAACATCCGTAAGATATTACTGTATGCAAAATCTTCGAACTAGTTTCTTGTGGGTGGCGCTGCTGACATCAATTATCTAGGCTTTTTTGGTGTACATGAAGTACGCGTATCGTCGTGACATCATCATGAAGAAGACGGTGGAAGAAAGAGCTAATTATGACAAGTGGACGGTAATGGGTGAGTTTGTACCGATTTGCTGCTCTTTGATGCAAATAGCAAGCAACACCTTTGTTTTGATCAAGGTGATCATCGGTTGGAAATTTGGGAATGTTTTTATCGATCTTTCGCTTTGTTTTGCTGTGTGGCTCTTTCTTTCTGTCATTTGGAACCTCTTCGTCGATGATCTACCCGATTGGATCCAATTAACTCGCATCCGTTCTTAGTTTTCCTTTCCGTGGTGGCCGGTGTGGTACTTGCATTGTGTTTTTTCCCTTGTTCGAATGGCACACTAGTTTTTGTACTCTTCAATTTGGTTTATGTTTTTTACTTTATGGAATTTTAGTTACATTCCATCTAATTAATTAATTAATTTAGGCTTATTGTGAGAAATTAAACAAATTCTTTTGGACCATTATTATTACATTTAGAGACAAAATAAATTGATTCTATTAGCTATATTAATAAATATAACGTTTTATTAGAAAACGCATTTTATACTTATTCATATACATGTAACATTTTATTAGAAAACATATTTTACCACTAGGGCAATGTATAGGGTTCGAGTCCCCCTCACCCCCTACTTCCCTTTGTAATAAACTTTAAATATGTCATTCACATTTAAATTAAACAATAAATCATTATTCTTATTAAAAGAAGGAAAATCATATATATTATCACATTTAAATTAAATTAATCAATGAACCATTATTCTTATTCAAAGAAATAAAATCAAGTTTTCTCATCCTAGAAACGTAGATGAAGAATGGCAGTTTCAAAGCAGGGAAGCAACCCTAGATCTGCATTGGCGACGGACGAGCGCAGCAACACCACGACCGCCGCCGAACGAATCACCCGTTTTCCCTCTAAATATTGACACATATGGATTAACATAGGTGTTAGGATTTAGGATTTCCACTCTCTCTTCCACAACCGCTCACCCCTCACTATCTCCTTCCAATTTCCTCCGGAGAACGATTACAGTGAAATCGACAAATGATGACACCAACAGCATAGCGGCAATTGTATGACAAATTTAAGGTAATTGTTCAATATTAATGTTTATGTTGCTCAAGGATTAATGTTTGTTTTTCTCCTAGAAAGATATTATATTCAATGTTGTCTCAGATCCATAATTGTATTATTCCTATGAGATACTAAAATTTGAAGTTGTTGTTTTATTCCCTTTACATAATTCTTCTATTGGGTTTTGAATTTTTTAATGAATAAACTCATGTAAATTTTGTTAATTGGTGTAGGAATGCAATCAATAGTTCTGTATTCTTATAACTAATAATTATAAGTTTATTAGAAGATTTCATGTAACAGTGTAACCATAAGGTATGGGTATTCAACTGAGTTTGTTTATGTTACTTAATATGTGGCCATAAAATAATTTGCTTTGCCACTCTTGTATATTATCAGAAACGACATCGAAAAGGATTTTGGGAAAAAATGGGGGATCAGAAAAGCATATCCTGTAGATACAATAAATTCAGCGGGATTTTGTTTTAGATAATATGGGATTTAGGAATAAATCTAGCCACAACTATATATGAAAGGTAATCCTAATATTTTAGTCTGCAATGGCATTCATCTTTAACATAATTTATTTCATTACTATATAAGTTTGAAATTTTTATTTTGTTTATTTGCAGAAACAAGCATCTTCAACCACATTATGACAGGTAATGCTATTAACCACATTATGATCTCGTTTTTCTTCTAAAAAATGATTTGTCAACATGGTGATTTAAAATGGTTATATGTGGGCTATAAGAACATCGTTTCTAACGTTTAATTTGGATACTTGACTCTAAAGTGGATATTTGTTTACATTGATTTGCATTTGTTATTTGTGTAATGTACTTAGTTAGTTGCTTGGAGCTTATGGGGAGACGAATTTCTGCAATGAAATCGGGAAGGAACTCAACTAAATCAATGTGGCAGTTGGGTTAAGATGACTTACTTGAACTGCACTCCAATTATCTACTCATGCCGGATCTGAAAAGTAAACAAAATGTATGCTAGACACGGTAAGGTCTTTAACATTATCTTATCGTATTAGTGAATTACTTTCCAAATTGTCATTGCAGTTAGTATGTACCAAAATGAAGTATAGAACAAGATGATATTTTCTTTTTGTATAGTTTTCTTAAACTTGAGCATAAAAGAGTTTTCTATTTTTTGATTTCAGCATTTTTTTTTCCGGAATAATTCAGTCCAGCTCAAATTACTCCGAACACCATAATGACGTGGGACACTTTGCTAATGGATTAAGGAAGTACGTTTGGCAGCTTCAATTTCTGGATGATGGTATTATTAAAAGTTATTTGGATCAAGTTAGTATGTATGTAAGTTAATGTACTTTGTGTACTCTCTTTGATTTATGTTATATGAATGTTTAGGACCTATGATTAGTATATATATGAGTGGAATAAGATGGTGGATAAATAATTATAATGATTGTTCTTAGATGGATTCACGGATGGCTATTTCTAATGGAATGATTTTGATTCTATTATACTCTGTTTTTTTGAATATTAAACTCTATTAATTTTAATGGTATATATTAATTTTTAATCGGGTAAAAGGAAAATTAGGAGCAGGCATGTAATATATATATATATATATATATATATATATATATATTACATGCCTGCTCCTAATTTTTTTTACCATTTTTTTAATTGTTCTAACGGTTATATACCGTTAGAAATTTCGCCGAGAGTGTTAGAATAGACACCGTTAGATTGATATTTCTAACGGATATAACCGTTAGAATAAATTATTTTCCTAACGGTCCTTCTAATTTTTCTAACGGCTATATCCGTTAGAATTTTTACGCCTTAAATTTCTAACGCCGTTTTTCTAACGGTTTTTTGGCGTTAGAAAAATTATTTCTAACGGCAATAGCTGTTAGAAAATGCCTTTTCTGGTGTAGTGTTATATAAGAAAAAAAAGCTCATAATCTATTTTTAAAAGCTTTTGCAAACACCACCTAAGAGTTATTCACAACTTACTCGATAATTTAGAAAAAAAAAATCATTTTGAAGTATAAGAGTCATTCACAACTTAACATAATATTCTTTCTACAATAAAGATGTATATACAATTTAAGTTTAAAGTCAAACCCCTTCCTTGTATTTCCTTTTTTCAATTTATGATATTTAAATTTTGTTAGTGAATAACCATTTTTCATTTTTAAGTTGTTTTGTGTGTGACATGACATATATATATGAATAATTGGATTATTTATTAGGCGAATAAGCAAAATAAATCAATTTCACTAATGACGGGTTACCAAATTACCTCATATATTATTTTGTTTTATTTTCATATTTTTACAATCATCATGTAAATAGATCCATTGATCTCCTACAATAATCTGCAAACCATATATAAGCGGTGCAAACTATATTGAGCCATTCGTATACGATAAGCTCAGTATTTAAAAAATAAAAAGTGATCTTAAAATAAATAAATAAAAATACAAAAGTATATATATGAAAAATCGAACTCATATAATTAAATATATATCGATGTGGCTGGTAGCTGCATTGTCACCTCTGTCTTAATTATATGGAGTTAATTGATCGTGGACATTCTAGACGTGTTTGTGGTCCAATTCTCCTATTCCATTACACATAAATCTTTGAACAAGATAAAAGTAAAAGACAAATACCCAATAAAGGAAGAAAAAAAATAGACTATTCTTGTTGGATATGCCCAACATGTTTTCTTTTTGGTTAAAGTTTCGATTAATTAATAACTTTGCTTAAATAATATTTTTCTTCAATTCCAAATTAGTGACAACATGCAATTTTATTAATTCTATAATTTAGAAACATTCTGCTAGTTCAAACTGTATCAATAATTGCGGTTTAACTATGAGTGATGTACTATTCAAATAAAAAGAAATTAACACGTGCGTATGATGATCTAATATTATGGGGGAAAACAAATTAATTACTAGAATTATGATTAATCACAATAAATACTACTAATAAATAATAGATAAATATGTGGTTGGTTTGTTAATATTAAAGTTAAAAGTTGAGCCTAACCCAGACAGTGGTTACACTGGTGAGACCAACTTGGAATTTCACGTGTTACAGTAATAAACATAACATTATTCATCAATATGTAAATAAATATACATAATCAGTCACACCAAATTTATACCTACAAAAAAATTATTTTATATTTTTAACCATGTGGACACAACTATCTAACTTTATTTAATTTCTCTCTCTTTTAGGCCACACGATCGATTTCATAATTAATTTGTTCAACATTATATTAATGAATTAAAAAACTTACCTATTTGCCTAAATAACATAATATCCATTTCCATTACATTGTAGTAATAATTTTGGTATCAATGAAGTTCCTATATAGGGACCTTACCTTATAACATCTATATATCTTACTAGCATTCCTTTTTGCACTACTATTTCATTAATCCAAAACTCTTTCTACTCAATTCCAAGAACTCATGTTTGCACAACTATTTCAATCCCTAGAGGCTACATCATCTCTAATTATAACCCTCCTCATACCCACTCTAATTTTCTTTTTTGTTTTAAAAACAAGATTTCGACGACGACGACGAAAACCTTATCCACCCGGGCCTAAAGGATGGCCTTTGATCGGCAACATAGACATGATGAACCAATTAACCCACCGTGGCCTGGCCAAGCTGGCCAAGCAATACGGTGGGGTCCTCCACCTCCGCATGGGCTTCCTCCATGTCGTCGCCATCTCCACCCCTGATGGGGCCCGCCAGGTCCTTCAGGTCCACGACATCATTTTCTCCAACCGCCCAGCGAATATCGCTATTAGCTACCTATCCTACGACCGAGCCGACATGGCTTTCGCTCACTACGGGCCCTTCTGGCGCCAGATGCGCAAGCTCTGCGTGATGAAGCTCTTCAGCCGCAAACGGGCCGAGTCCTGGGACTCGGTCCGTGACGAGGTGGACAGCATGGTCCATGCCGTGGCTGAGACTGCCGATGGTAGCTCGGCTGTGAACATCGGTGAGCTCGTGTTTGGACTCACGAGGAATATTATATACCGGGCCGCATTCGGAACGAGATCAAACGAGGGGGGCCAGGGTGATTTTATCGAGATCTTGCAGGAGTTTTCGAAATTGTTTGGCGCGTTCAATATTGCCGATTTTGTACCTTGGTTAGGTGGATTGGATGTTCAGGGAATTAATAAGAGGATGATAAAGGCCCGTGATTCGCTCGATGGATTCATCGATAGCATAATTGATGAGCATATGATCAAGAAAAAGAAGGCTAAAAATAATGGTTTGATTGAGCAAACTAGTAATCTTGATACGGATATGGTGGATGAGTTGTTGGATTTTTATAGTAGTGAAGATGATGCCGAAGTATCCGAGTTGTGTGAGCAGGATTCCCACAACTCAAATATCAAACTCACCAGGAATAACATCAAAGCTATTATTATGGTAATTAATCAGCCACACTCATTATATATATATATATATATCCTCTTTCTTTGGAACTAATTATTATTATTATTATATTTGACAATTTTAGACCGACATAAATAATCTTTGTAATTTTGCAAACTAGGTAGGTGGTTTTTGTTAAATTCAAATACAGAATAATTTGTACTTTTTAATATTATATATGTTGTAAGTTTTTTAATTTTATAACATCAGGATGTGATGTTCGGTGGAACTGAAACGGTGGCTTCCGCCATCGAGTGGGCCATGGCGGAGCTAATGAAAAGCCCGGAAGATATGAAGAAGGTACAACAAGAGTTGACAAATGAAGTGGGCTTGGCCCGCAAAGTAGAAGAGCCCGACTTGGAAAAATTAACTTATCTCCGGTGCTGCCTGAAAGAGGTCCTCCGCCTCCACCCACCAATCCCTCTCCTCCTCCACGAGACCGCCGAAGACGCCACCGTTTCGGGGTACCACATTCCGGCCAAATCGAGGGTCATGATAAACGCGTGGGCTATCGGACGCGACGAGAGTGCGTGGGAAGACGCAGACGAGTTCAAGCCCTCGCGTTTTCTCAGAGACGGCGTACCGGATTTCAAAGGGGGTAACTTCGAGTTCATTCCTTTCGGGTCGGGTCGGAGATCCTGCCCAGGAATGCAGCTGGGGCTCTACGCTCTTGAAACGGCGGTGGCCCATCTTCTGCACTGTTTTACATGGGAATTGCCAGATGGCATGAAACCGATTGATTTGGACATGAGCGATTTGTTTGGCCTCACTGCGCCGCGGGCCGAGAGGCTGGTGGCGGTGCCGACCCCGCGGCTGCTTTGCCCGCTTTAGGTGAATGGCGTTGGAAGCGGCGGCGGCGCGTGGTAATAAATGCACACCATGAGTGAAAATAGTCGATTATGTAAATTGAATAAAAAATAAAAGAAATGAGTAAATCCAAGTCAAATTTAAATATTATATTTTTAAACATTGCATGTGGTTGTAATGGTATATAGTTGATCTGGATTTTAACCTACTGTTTTGGAATCTTTGATTATAGAATGTGGAAGACAAGGACATTGTCGTAATTTGTGCAAATGATTGCACAGACAATTTATTTTGGTCCTTTAATTTAGTATATAATACAGACAAGTTCAGAATTTGGGGTCCTACAAAATAAAATAAAAAAATTACAAATATCAGAAATTCTACCAATATTTGCAGTTACATCTTGTACAGGATTCATGGATCACAACTAGCCGAAACTCTAAACAAAACAATTACAAAAATCCTCTCAAGTTAAAAGGCTCGGATCAATAAATCACACTTTGCTGATTTTTTAGCAATATATATATATAAGACTACTTCGAAAACAGTAGCCATGGATTTTAAACGCAAAAATCAATCTAAAAAATGGCGATGCAGCTTACAATAGAATTCGGATTACAGCGAGACCAACAGCAGAAATGGAGGCAAGTGTACCTATGCAATATTTAATCACGTCGTATTTTGCTGCTTCCAATTGCGCCCTCAGTTCATGAATTTCCTGATATCGCTCAATATGACAGATGTCAATTAGCAATTAGGTAAAATATACGATTTCAACTATTATCATATAATACTCACTCTATCTAGTTTGTTAGTAAGGTGAGTTGTTTCTTGATTTTGATTGTTCAGCTCATCCCGTATTCTCCTGAATAATTTCGCAAAAATACATTGTAATAACTTTATTTTGCATTAAATTGATGATGATAGTTATGGGGAAAACTAACCCCTTTTCAAGATTAAGATCCAAACGCTGCCCAGCGGTCACTTTGTCGATTTCATACCTGAACCAAGATCATTATTTTTTTATTTATTTTTTTCATTCAGAATCAGAATACAGAAACCAAACGCCACTGGATTTATAGAAATAAATCCAGTTTATTTAGTTACGTACCTCAACTCACTGCGCATCTTCTCTATATCACTCTTGAGTTTTTCGGTCTCGTGTTGCAGCAAAGAAAAATGGTGCTCCTGAATTTCGAATTAAATGAAATAGAAACGACTCTTACTTAACACACAAAAAGCTCCATGGTTAAGAATCCTCGAACAGATAATTTTAACTAATAATCTAAATACAAATAGGGCATATATTCAGAAACCATTATGCAAAGGATGAAGAAGAGCCATTATTATGCACGCACATTATGGTTATTCCGAAGCAAGAAAATATATATCAAGTTTCACTTTTTGAATTAACTGTGTCCAAAGAAGATGCCATCACAAAGACGAAAATATAATCATAATATTGTGGAAACATTAGGCATCCACCAAAATAACCATCAGTGGGTGGATATCATATAACCATCAGTGACTGAAAAACTTGTTCGAGAAACGGAAATTTCAGCAATGGAATCGGCGGAATTTGGAAATTCCAATTTTTCGATCACCAATAATACCAAATACTCAAATACATAATAATATTGATATTCTAAGTGTAATTTTCGGAAAAAAGTCGGAATTTTTGAAATATTAAATTAAAATTGGATCGGAAATCGTAATCTAGTATGCATTCCAATTCCATTCCAAAACAAGATTTGAAAAATTAGACATCGGAACTTTCAGAATTTGCAACGAAAAATCTTGTTCCAAAAAAAATGGATCAAAATAGGTGGATTTCGGAATATACCTTCCAATTTCCACCCCTTGATATTGCTGGGAATGCATCTTTTAACGAAATTCTCACAATCTGCTTTCGTTTTGCTAAACCAGTTCTGTAGCTTCAAAGTTTTGGTTTTTAGGCGCATCATGCACCTATTTAGAGCTTGACTATGACATAACGCAGCTCAAATATATACAAATATAAGGAATACTGAAACAACTTTCGAGTGAACAAGTTGCAAGATTCAAGTTGTAACCATCAGCAGAACTTACACTAACTCCAACACCAAACATCGACTCTAATTAACATGAATATATTTCGAGGTAAATCGATTCCACACACCACTAGAAATTAACTCCGAATTGTAGCGAAACCACACCATTTTGAAAGAACAACAAACAAGAAAAAAAGAAGATTGAGAATATTCCCTACCTGAGAACTTTTAACTTGAGTTATGAATTTGGACAAATTGGAATCCTGAGTCATCTCATTCTACACACCAAAAGAAAGAAGAAAAAAAACATTTCTTTCAGTAAAGCATTTCTCGCAACACATCATTCAGTAATGATAAATAGCAAAAGGAAACGATGATCAATGAAAAAAACCCTAAAAACAGAGAAAGGGGGTTGATTGATTACCTTCAGCATTTCACCTTTGGAAACAAAAGAATAAGAAACATTTTCCAAGCTGTCGTTGAGGACTTCCGTCATAGCCCCCGTTATCGCCTCCGCTTGCTTCGACGGAACCCCTTGCGCCTCCAATTTCCTCACCTAATTATTAATTTTGACCTACAATTAGAGCCACCACTCAACGGTCGAGAACTAGATTTACAAATGCAGAAAAATAGAAAAATTACGAGGGCCAAAGTGTCGACGAGGAAGATGCGTCGCCCGTTGGATTTAACGAGATCGGAGATGTGTCTGGTGGACCCACGAAAATGGGGTCCGAAAACAAAGCCCCGGTTACAAGTCGCCGCGTACGCGGCAGCCATCGGAAAGCTTTCTTCCTTTTTTTTTTTTTTAATTTATTTATCAAAATTGACCTTAGCGCAGCTGATCGATGCTTGGAACAGCAATGAAATTGCAATAAAGTAGTAGTATATCGTTTACAAAAATGGTAAAAGAATTAGCAAACCAATCGAAAATGGCGGCTGGATTATACTCTAATGACGGATTTTTGCTTGGTGAAAAAGATAAGCAAAAAAGAAAAAGAAAAAGAAAAAAAAAAGAAAAAAGAAATGAAAACGATAAACGCCCACCGTGGGGCTCGAACCCACGACCACAAGGTTAAGAGCCTTGCGCTCTACCAACTGAGCTAGACGGGCTGTTGAACATGAAATGTGACTAATAATATGTATTACAATGATTATTTTAAAAAATGTAAAAATTGATGATTTCAGTGATAAAGCTTAAAATAATTAATTAGGGCATCCCCAATGGAGGCTCTATACTCCATTGGGCTCTAAATTATAGAACTTCTGCAAAAAAAGGCAACACCAACAAGAGTTCTAGTGGGTATGCAAATTTAGAGACTTTCACCAAATTCCTAAATGTTTTCCTAAATATGTGATTTCATTTGGAGACTCTCTATTTGCTGGGTCCCACGGCTTTTTATTTCTTTTTCGTTTTTCCTTCTTAGTTTTTAAGGGGTGCTTATTTTATATTTATATAATTCGAAAAAAGATGTATTTATTATTTTCATTATATTTGAACATATATTTGTGCTAATAATTTGTCATTTCATTTTTTAGAATTATTTTTCTATAGAAATGTAGATAAAATAATTAATGGCAGGGATCAATTGGTGTATATATCTTTTTTCATTATATTTGGACATATATCATATCTTTTCAGATTTTTTTATTTATTTGATCAAAGTGTGTATTAAAAGTAATTATGATTGATGGAATATAATTAATTATCTAAAACCTCACATATGAATAAAATTTAAACCTTAATCACATTATTATATAAAAAAATCGTAAAATAAATTTAGAGACTCAAAACTATAGAGCCCTTCACTGTGGAACTTTTTTTTTTAGAGACTCGAAAATTTTACCGGGTCTTCATATGGGTCTCCAAAACAAAATTTGGAGACCCGATTTGCTTACTCCATTGGAGATGCCCTTATGTCTACAAATTTGAGTTCTTTACAAAACGTCATTGAAAACAGCAAATGTTCTTTATGTGAAAGAATTTTAACGTCAAGAGATTTTTTACAGAGGGAGCTAAAAGAAGATTCGTATTTGAAATTGCATGAGCAAAGCCGCAAATGAATAATTGTCGCAAACATAATTAGACATTAAAGAGCAAAAACATCAAGTTGTTGGAGATATTAATATTACATGATACATTTCACTAACAGTTTAAACTTTTAGATCATTCAACAGAGTTTAACGTTCTACTAGATCCAGCACTCCATAATTATAAGTTTGGGAGGGAGAAATGAAAACTCTTCTGTTGCAGCTGCAATTACCAAGACCCAAAAAGAAATAGACAAAAAAAAAAGGTCCAATTTAAAAGAAGCAAATATGTTATTACATGGGCATTTCGTGACTAGTGTACAAAATAAAAGGATGATAAGGTATAATGTTACAGAAGAAAAGCTGATGCAGGGATTCCTACTTTTCAGACCAAAAGAACATTTTGGTTAAATATTGAAGTTATTACAAGAAAAAGGTTTGCCTCTAATCAATCTTACATGAAAGAAATGAGCAAAAATATACACTATTAATCAACGTAGATTCTTCGTTCTGGTCCACAGTAAGTATAATGTAGCGGGCAAGATTAGCCTCTTACTTTGGTGGTCTTTTGTATGGATAGATTACATCATCAACACTCTGTTTTATTTGATTCCCTACTCTACGCATGTTCTTTGCTACCCCGTTCGCAACCAGGTTTGCATTTCTACTGAACCTATATTTCCATCAATAAATAAATAAATAATGCATAACAAGTTATATTGATTCAATGACCTAGTTATGTAATTCAGACAAAAAAAAAAAAACAATTGTATGGTTCTTGCCTGCTCAAAAACTGATCCCCAGTTGCATTAGTTGGTTTAGGCGATCGAGGTTGAGGCAAACCATTACCATCTGCAACAGGAAAATACATAATTTGTTATATACGAGAAGATGTACGAGAAAACAACCATACATTTACAATGTATATTTTATTTACAGAATGCTCATTTTCCTTTTTCTAGAAATATCAGAGCCAAAAATATATAAATGCCCCCAATTTACCATTCGTTGAATGGAGCAATGAACACCTACTATCCACGATAATATAATAAGCAATTATTTTATGTTTGGAATTGTGATTATACAATCTTTGTATTGGGTATCACCTTTTCATAAGATTGTGTAATAATAGGAGTTGAATTTGGACTAAATACCCTCGCATGCTTGTTTAAAATCTTGCCCATTTTTGTTTTATCTTTGACAAACCTTGATTCCAAACGATGCCTTAAGTGCACAGATTGAGAAATGCACTTGATAAGTAATTAGTCCCTAAGCTAATAACGCTCATGCATTAAGCCCCAAATCCGTATTGTAAAAGAGCAGTTTATAATATAACTAGAACGAATAAAAAGAGGGAAGTTACCTTCTCTATTATGAACACTATTCACAGGAGCAGATGCTGAATCGGCCGACTTAACTCGTTGATCCACTAAAACCTCGAAACCTGTACACACTGGCAATTCTGTTGGAGTCTCTTGCCCGTCTAAACCATGTTCTTTCCGGTCAACATAAATAGAGTAACCAACACAAGCATATCTAAAATCGGTTAAGCTCCTACCCTCTTTAGATGCTTCCATCTCAGTTTTTCCGACAACATGCCGAGGCACTGGTCAACAAACATCAAAATGAAATCATAATCCATTTTTCAAATTATTTAATTAGTAATAATTCTCAGCGATTAAGGTAGAAATACGAAGAACACTTGTTGCACATGAAACTATGTGCATATACTTATGAAGTTTGTAATTCAAGAACAAGCTCGATAAAATCCCAGCCCAATCTCTTAACGCAAAAAAAAAAAAAAAAAAAAAAAAAAAAAGATGCATAATCACTAATCAACAAATCAACAAATTTCTGTGCCAAATTACAAACTTATTATTACCAAATTCACAAAGTTGCAATCTTTTTTTTTTTTTTTTCTAGATATGAAACTGCCTCAAATTAAAACACCCAAAACAAAGCAGAGAGACTAACAAATGCATGAAAATTGAAAAAATGAAAGATCACCAAAAAAAATTAGGGTTACCGTTGGGGAGAGAACGAGTGAGGCCAACGCAGACGGGGTTTCTAGAATCGGATTTGAAACGGGACGAATAATACAGGCAACCTTTGCAAGATTTTGCCTTGTTGACATTCACTGAATGTGTGTCGTTTGTTGACGATGGAGAAGATGCACCGACGCCGCCATTAATTTGTTTCAGCTGATTCGAATCCTGTGATTCCAATCTGATAGCAGATGGGGTTGATTCATTGTTGCCGATTGGGATCATCTTCGTTTTTTCTTTCTCCGTATCCTTTTTTTTCTCTTGTTTTTTTTTTTCTTTTTTCCTTTTCTTCTATTTTATTTTATTACTTATATATTGGATTTTTATTTATTTTTTATTTTTCACTCTTTCTAGATAGAGATAGGCATTATGCTGGTTGGCTACAGATTTCTTCTTAAAAAATAAAAAAGTAAAAAATAAATAATAAACATAAAATAAAATAGATGTAGTTTCATACAAATAAATAAAGTTTTGGTTTTAGTCTTTTTACTAATCAATATCAATTTTTCAACATAATCATATAATTAACTTGACAGTAAATCGAGCCAAAAGAAAAAAAGTTTGTTATGGTATCAACTAAAAAAGTACTTAATATAGAATTACAAATGAATGACAAATATAACATTTATTTAGGACATTATAAAAATAAAAACATTCTGCACATTCAAGAATACTAAAAATCGAAACTCTAGAAATCCTCCGAAAACCATACACTCAATTAATGTTAAGATGAATCGTTTTAACGGAAATGTAAGGATCTTCCACTACCCCTAATTCCACGGAATTCAGCCACAAAACATTGCCCTATCTTCGATTATGTTGTGCACTAAACAGACAATAATCTATGATTTGACAATCTTACGGTTAAAAACGGGATAGTAAGTATCGAGCTCAAGCTGTTCTAAGATATGTTGAGTGCCCCATAGATACGAGGAGTGGCCCTCGATAATTTCAGTCACATCAACCTGTTTAGATTCAAGAGTAGAGATAGATACCGATATAAGTTTAATTTGGCACTTGCATTTTGAGAAAATAATAATAATAATAATTTAAAAAAAATTAATCAGCTTTGCAAAGACGTTTACGTTTTCAATGCCAGGCACATCAACCGGTTGAATTCCCGCCAATCCTTTGGTAAGAAGACTGTTGTTCAAACACAATAATTGCTCAATAATATTGAATCGAACGATGTTCGATGGTAGAAATTAATGTTTTTTTTTATTATTTTCAACTCAATTTAAATATGTGGTTTTAAGAGTTCATACTTGGCACGAAATGCTATTCCAAGCATCCAATCATCTGTGGAATATGCGTTTATATATCTCCCAGCCACCACCTGCACAATGTACACGGTTAATTTATTAGCACTTCTTTTTTATTTAACATTTATTATTTCTTTTTTGAAAAAAATGCTCCACGATTACCTTTCGAGTAGCTTCCCAATTCATGTCCTTAATTGCAATGGGAGCTCCGAGCAAAACAACTCTTTCCACAAGTCCAGCTGATGAAAATCGAGAAAGTAAATAGTCGTTTGCACAAAACCAAACATCTTTTACCCAAAATTGATAAAAAAAAAAATGAAGGAAAAAAAATGAGTAAAATAAAGAAAATGTCCTAATAAATGAAAAGATTGTGCATACCATTAGCATCACTTTCAGCCAAAATCTGGAGGCACCTAAATATTACCCTTGCTCCGAGCGAGAAACCTACTAGAGTCACAGGCCTGTGATAAATTACCATCACAGCAAATATAAGAAATTGCGCCAACTGTAACAACGACAACCTTACCGAATGCAATATAGTAATAGTTATATATTATATATACCTCTGCCCTTGCAACCCTTTCAGTAACACTTCTGCAAGCAATTTTCCTGCCTTATCCGATCTACATAAGTAGCACCAACATTAACTTTCTTTTTACTAAGATGTGTAAATATTATTTTTTGCAATAATATTTATACAACTTCTGAAGTTCTCAGTTAAAAAAATAAAATAAAAAATAAAAACCTGTCAATAACAATAGTCCATTTGCTGTCAATAAAATTAGTAAGAGTGAGTAATGCTGATGGCCAAGCGAGTGCTGTCATTAGAGTACTTAGCACAGTCATCATGGCACCTTGCTTCATCATCTCCGTCGCAATTTCTGCCATTAAAAAAAAGAAATAAAAGTTTGGTTGTGTTTTAACTTTCCGGCTAATATTATATATAGCTAAGTAATGTTTGTTAATATTCAGCTGAATAAAGAAAAATCATTTACTTGAAGTAAGCCAGTCCTGAATAGCAGTGCTTACTGCAATTAAATTCTTCGACTCCCACTGTATTGCATACCTAAAACATGTTAAAAATTTTAAGCTTTAAAGAGGGCTTGTTTGGTTATTATGATTAGGCTTGATAGACTATATACTCGGCCAAATGTTTGGATTTAAGTTTCAAGCCCGTGATAAAAAAAAAAAAAGGGCCTTGGTTTTTATCAAGCATACGAAGGATACAAATTCAACACTTATTATTACACTACGAAAGATGTTATTCAATACAAGGATTTTATAATCAGAATTCCCAAACTTAAGGTAATCACATTTTAGATTATCACAGATGATGTAACCTAACTAATTCAATCAATTTTACCGATCCCAGTCAATGTTTCCAAACAATGCCTTAGTGAAATCATCATAAAGCCGCATACTAGTAAAATATTACGACGCCACTATTCCTTATTACAAGGTAAAAAATCCATGTTACAATGTAGGAAAAAGGGTAGTTGTACCTTTCCAAGTTATCATGTTGTCCTTCCCAAGGTCTTATAAAGTCTTGTTCCTCAAAAACAAATCCTGAAATCGAGATCTCAACAGCTAGTCGCTGGTAAGATATTTATTTCATGAGCAAAGAACAAATTTGCAAGACTCACTCCATTTGTATTTGTAACACGATTTGATTTTTTTTTATTATTGTTAACCAAAAAAAAAAAAGAAACAAAAAGGAAAAGACTCACTCCTTGGTTATGGTTTTCGCCAATGGTTTTGAACTCGAATTCTTCAACATCGCCGATTCTCCTAGCCACTTTGGTCCCCGTAAGTCCAGCTCCAGCAGCTAAGTCAATTGCCAAAATCAGCGAGATCTCAGGGTCGTTAAGCAAAACTAAGATTAATCAACTAATTAAGATTTTTTTTATGCTTGATTAGTAAAACCAAGAAAAGCATAGCAGAAATAATGGCAATGGCAATGTACATAAAAAAGACTCCGACAAATCCATTGAAAAGCATATTCAAGAAATTAAATCATAAGAAGAAAAAGAAGTGAAAATTGAAGTAATTACCACCAAAAGAAGCTGCAACTGCAACAGAACCGACAACACTTCCAGCGGCACTAGCAACAGCAGCAAAACCACTTGCCCCTATAACTGGTATTATAGTCCCTAAAGTAGGTGCTAATGCACCAAAACCAGCTGCTATAGCTGGAGCAGCCAAACCTGTTCACTCTTGTCGTTTTTAAATAAACCCGAAATTCCAAAACAATAATTAAAATAACTTTTAAAAAAATTGGATAATGAGATATACCTCCGGTAATGGCCATCAAGGTACCTCCGGTTATTGCAGCAGCACCTATGATACCTCCACGTTTCCACTTAGCCCACGTGCTTTCCGGTGATTTATCTTCCTCATTCAATTCCTCCGTCAGTATAGCCATTGCTGAACAAGCAACCACCGTTTCAATTGCTTCCTTCAAACAAAATATATATATCATTTTTCTGTTAAGGCCTCGTTTGGCTAGGGAGCTTATCCATGATTAATTAAATAACTCAACTCTGTTTGATGTTTGGTAAACCCAATAATTTTTCGGGTCTACACTTATCATGGAGATTATTTATTCGGAATTTTAAACGAGTGTTTCAAACAAACAACTAAAAGGGCAGATACCATTTTAATCCATTTGATATCGAACCAGGTTGCTAACAATCTGAGCGCCACACGATGCCTCGCATCGTAACCATTTGTTCTCTTTGTGGCATCTTTATTATCCTCCTCCGGAATATTAGCCAGACAAGCTGAAAGAACCTCGTACAGAACCGTCACTTTCCTAGTATAACTAACCACATTTGCCTCCTCCATTGGTTTTCCATCGTTTTCAAAGATTGAATGTTTATGGGCTTGCTCAACAGCAGATGTAGCAATAACATTAGTTTCCTGCTGAGAACTATCTTTGACTTTCGATTCTTCAATTGACTCGGGGGTTGAAAACTTCTCCTTACAGGCAGTCTCGTACTCGCGTTGTTTTTCCTTTTTGGAATCATGCTCGGCTGGAGATTTTTCCATGCTCGCTGACATGGCATCTATGCCCTTTACAAGGGCAACTTCTTTTTCAGCGGTTTCTGATGACACGTCTCGATTTTCATCTACGAGTAATCTTAGGAACTGATTACAAAGAAAAGATCCCTTCATTAGAAATCATATTACATAGAATTAATTATGTATGTAGGTTTCAATAAGCAGCATTAAGCATTTACCACGCAAAGATTAGTGAAAAACTTCTCAGACACTACGAAAATCAAATAAGGAAAATAATAAATAAATTGGTAAAAGTGCAATCATCAAAATATTTTGAAGCCGAAGGAAAAAAGAAACTAACAGCTCCAAAATGATTGTTTGCAGGTGAGCAAGCGGCAGTTTCTTCCAATCCAAGCCACGCGCTGCCATCAATTTCTAGAAACCTGTAAATTGCAAAAACTCAAAAACCAGACACATTTTATTCTCAGCAAAAACATACACAAGGGCTATTACGTACTTGAAGATAGGGCGGAGGAGGCCGGAGGATTCATGGACCCACAACTGAGGGTCTTCGGAATCGGAGTTGGAGCCACTGCCGCTACTAAGGCGTTCCTCCGCCGCACCGCCGCCGCCGTCGGGAAGGCCCAATTGGATGGTCTGGTGGATCTGGGTCTGGTGCAGGGCCATCGCGAAGAGTGCCCCGGCCCCGTATTTTTGCGTCGGCGTCAGCATCGACGTCGATGATGATGACATCTTTTTCTTTATCCCCCTTTATTTGTAGTTCAATCGGAAATGCAGAATATCATGATTATTTAAAATTGAAAGAAAATTCTGCCAAGATCATACGTGATCCAATGAAGAATTCCGTCACCTCAACCTCAAGTTGATCACTGTGTGTGTGTTTTTTTTTTTTCTGTAAATAAGAAACACCGATGCTACGTACACGTGTATAAAATAGAAAATGCATTATTGCAACTGATAAAATAATATAGATAATATGAAGAAGAAAAAAATACAATTTAGAACCAAGGGCATTTCAGACATTTCAATTGGACTATGAGCTAACCGTAAGCGAAACTTGAACAATCCAAAATATAGTACCGAATACACCTATTGTGAAATGTATAGCAAATGAAACTAGGCTGGATTTACGTTAATAATATTAAAATAAAAAAAAAAAAAAAAAAAAAAAAAGAGAGAGAGAGAGAGAGAACGATTTTCCGAAATTGCCCTCAAAAGGGCTAATACACAAATTAAACAACTCATCATCTCTTCTTCTCCAAATAACATACAGATTATGAACTAACACCTACACAGACTAAGCTACTCACATTATTAATTATTACAAAAATTACTAGCACCAAAATATAATCCATCACCTTACTAAAACAAAAGACAAACATAACTACGAAGGATGCAAGTAATCGCAGAACGCTCCTTTCTTGCACCGACCACTCTCGTAGAATTTGCAAATCCTCTGCCCTTTCGGTGGTGGCCTCGAATATCCACCACCACCACCCCCACTAAATGGAGGCCGCCCCCACGGTAGCCTCCCCCTCCCAAACCCCGGCTCACCTCCACCTTGATAACAACCCCCCCACTCTCTAGGGCTAGGAAACCTCTCCCCACCGTATTTCCGTGGACCCTCCCACGGTAGATTCCCATTCACTGGGCTCTGATTCAGGTTCGGATTACCCCAACCTGCTGTCTGGTATGGATTACCCCACCCCATGTTCGCCATTCCCTGAGCCGAAGGTCCACCCAATACAAGATTCACGTTACCCTGCACCGTCACCAGGTTAATATTCCCCTGCACCGCTCCCCAACCGGGGTCCGCTGTTTCTTGGTGAAAATCCGAACCCGTTCCACCTGTGTAAACTGACGACGAGTTATTATTCTCTACAGCACTCCCCACAGACGAGGAATTGTTGAAAGAATCAAGACCATCGATCACAGATGATGATGCAATAACCGGTTTGCAAACATCATTGGTTGAGCTAAATTCCTCGATCGAACTAAAGCAATCGTCTCTACAGTCTAGCATCTCCTTTGCAAACTTCATAGCTGAGGTAGGCGAAGGAAATACGCCCTGCGATTCCATCGCATCAACTTCAGCCAACAAATCCGAAACCGATTCTTCCCCCAAAGCATCGAATTCAATCGGTTCGTTCATCATTGCCAGCCAGTTTGTAACTTCGTGAGGTCTCTGGGAAGGAGCAGAGACGAGATCAGAATCCCACGCATCTGCGGCACATGGCTTCGCCGGTGTGGATGCATACCCGCACCATTCGTTAGCTACTTCAGGAGTCCAGCTGGGGCCCGCATTTGGCACGGGGAAATTCGGTAATCCAGGTGGCGGCTTCTCAGTGGCCTTATGATCGTCCTTAGGACTTAGAAGCTCAAGTATACCAGAGTTTTGCAAAGGGAAGTTAGTTGATACAGGTGCAGAAACACAACCCGAGTCTATATCTATATCGTTCAAGCTCAAATCAATAGGCAAAGGTCTCGGATTTTCTTTTTCTTGTAAAGATTTATTTCCTCCACTAGTTGTCTCGTTTTGATTCGGCAAGTTTGGAATCTTTTCCGTATTTTGTGGGCCATTGCTGACCTCATCATCTTTAAGCAAATCCCAGCATTGAGGCCAAGAGGGAGACTCGTTTGCCCTCACAGATCCACTATTGTTGTCGGGTAAAACAGTTGCGTTATTACAAGAGGCTGTCTCTTTTTGTTTACTGTCTCCATCATTTCTGTCATGTCTCCACTCGGATGCCCCATGGAATCTCCCACTCAGAGCATCTGTCAGAAGCAACGAGTCGTATTGCTCGTGATTCGTCCATATTCTCATATTGTGTGGAAAAAGTCCGATTTTACTCGAGTCGCGCAAATGCATCATCGAAAATGGGCCTTGAATTTTACCATTGTGATCTCGATGATGCCATAATTTCTCGGTTTCGATAATATTGACAGGTAGAAAGTTCCGCACGGATACAGTTGCGCTTGAAGTTTCCATTTCCGACCTTTGATCATTTGATTCATTTCTACCACCAATTGTTGAGTTAGTAACGTTAACTTGATCTATTAGTTTCTCCGCATTATCTGATACACTTGCATCTATCTTCTCTCCATCTTCTTTACCTGAGGAAGTGTATGAAATAATAGTCTCTGATTAAATTACTACGAAACAAATTTTCGACTGAAAATAAACATGGCAGAATTATACTTCACCGTTTTTGTTAGAAGAAACTGGCTTACCATTTACTTGAGAAGATTCCAAGTATCTTGGCATGACATGTTCATCTGTATAAAACGACGATGAGCCCACTTAGAATCTTTGATGGTGTACGATAAGCAAAGAAATAAACTGATGGGATAATACCTTTTCTACTGTTATCACAACTTTTTACATCTTCCAATTCAGCATCTGGGCTTATTACATCTGGATCGACGTGTATTTCTGGAACTTGAACAATTCTGCGCTGGTATTCTTCAGGTGAATTTAGTAGCTGTATTTTACGTACATGTTCTCTGAGCGTGATAACTGGTCAAGGAAGAAACATGTGCAAGGTCTAGTGTTAAGAATATGGCTACATCGAAATTTAGTGAGATGCAGTTTCACAATAGAAATTTAGCTCATTCATTCGACAGAAATATATTGTCTCTTTAGCAAACTTGGCGCATCGAACATTACCATGCTATTTGATAAGTGAAAACATTGATTAAAAAAAAAGGATATTCCTTCTTACGCCCTTTCTTGCTAACTTGATCCTGAAGATGATTTAGCTGTAATATCTCTGCCTCCAGCCACTACATTTACAAATATAGAACATAAAAAAGTCAAATTTGAAAAATTCAAAGAATTGAAAATAAAAGAAACAGATGAAACAAATTAAATTCAGGTAGTTAAGAGTTTACGAACTCACATATTTGACCCTAACTGGTTGAAGGGCCATAGCTTTCTTTTTTATTTCATCCTACCAAGATACAAAAATACAAATAAATAACCGCATTTCCAATTTCAGGTCCAACTCTGAAGCAATGCTACATAGTATACTTACAACAGTGAACTGCTCCATGAGCCCACATTTAATGCCTTGGTGCAACTGTCTGCACTCATCCTGAATGCCAAAACAAATTATTAGGCAACAAAGACGGAACCAACAATTATATTCTATCGCCCTATTTCTACTTTATAGATATTAAAAAAAATACCCCAACAAGAAAATACTGTCAAAACTTTCAGAAAATTAAGACCAATTCAGCATTCGACCTACCTTGGTGAAATCTTGATTTGAAATGGCATCAACTGATATGACCTCTTGCATATCTAAATTTAAAACTTCAAGCATGATATTTGCTGTCCTATCACCAATTTTATATGGCTCGGCCACCTTTCTAGTCCCTGAATACCATAAGACAGTTATACATCCATACATACATGCATACATGTATACATATATATATATGGAGGAGAAAAAAGTGCGATGATGATTCAATGCGACTATACCTACAATTTTGACAAGCCTGTAAACATCTGGCTTCTGGTCATCACTTGAAATTCTGATTCTCACAATCGATCCTAAGACCTTATCATGGAAATTCTCCTTATCTTCAACGAGATTCTCCATCATATTACGCCGCAAATAGATCAAGTTAATATTATGAACATCAATTGCAGCATAGTCCCTCGATTTATTCTGGGGTTTTCTCTCTTCACTATCTCCAAACATCTCTTCTTTCTTACTCTTTATTTGCATCAACGAGTTGTCTACATCAACTTCCATGCCACTTGCAACAGAATCAACAAATCCAGCTGGAAAAAAAAAATCTTTATGAGAACCCTCATTTATAATAAAGTAAGATTCAAGAAGATTTCTTTTTACGATTTTTGTCAGTACCTGAATTGTCTGGATTTCCGTCTCTTGGCTCACCTCTATCTTTGACAATGCTAAGATTGTCTTCTTCATTTTTTATTACTGGATTGGAAGTGTCTTTCCCACAATTGCCTCCAATGCTTGTCTCATTAGCGTTTAGAATTTTCGTGTCTTTGCTAAAGATCGTCTCGTTTTCCCCACTATTGCTATTTGGTATCTCAATGTGGTTACTGGCTCTTGATACAGCTGACATTAACGTTTTGTTCTGTGCTTCTTCGAGCTTATTTATCTCCAAATGTTCAGAACTTTTGATAGGAATAGAAACTTTTCCATCGAGTACATTACTCAACTGTGGCGTGCAAACGACTGGAGCCACACCTTTCCAGGGATTTCTAGCTTTCGTGAGGTCACTCATCGTTAAGGATAACTTCTCTTTCAAGGGTACCCAATACATCTTAAAAAGATATTCCCAACTAGTTACGTCATCAAAATCTACTTGAACCTGCATAAAATAACTATGTCAGCATGTTTCGAGATTTATCAAAAAGGAGTGTCCTATTACAACAAATTTTAACAGAAGAAAATATATTTTAGGCAAGCTTTAATAAAAAGAGTAGATATAATATAAAAATCAATTTCAACTGCTCTACGTAGATACAATATGAGAGAGACAAACCAAAAAACATAGAGAAACAAGTGTCCATACCCCCGAGTCACTGTTTACGGGGCCTTGGTTTTCCATCAGCGTAATAGTCTTCATGCACGTTGAGCAAAAGCCTTTGTTGCCTCTAACACACACGTAATCGGCATCTTTAGTGCATCCCTTGCACAATGAATACGTGCAAGTGTAGCAAACATAGTGAGAAGCCTTTCTACACACACTACATATGTGCCATCCTGAAAATCAATAGCTCCATAAGATGAGATCTATGAAAACTTGCATTCAAGACTATGATAAGATAAAAGAGAAGACAAATGAATTAGCAAAGAATCGTAGAGACTATAAAAGAAACATGGTCACGTACATTTCACTTCAAAATATGCTTATTAGCTAGCCCACAAACTTACAAGAATGTTTAGTCAAAACTAACGAACATTACCCACATCTTTACTGGATATCTTACCATTTGCCAAACATAGTAATACAAATTCAATGGGAAATTCAGAGACACTTAGGTCAAAATTTCCACCATAAGAACCGAAAAAACAAGAATATTTTTATCGAAACAAAAACCGGAAAAATGGAAAGTTTAAAACTTCAGTACACTCAAAAAGATGAAAAGATCAACATACCGCAGTTCCACTTAGCTTTTGATTTAAAAAACGCTTCGTCTCGCTTAATACAGGCGGGATGGTAAGCCTTTGGACAGCCCCTATACATTAGCAACGAACTCTAAAGTTAACATTCCATAAAAAAGACTTCCTTTTTATGCTACTTTAGATAATAATGAAGTAAAATTTTCCTTAACAGAGAGCGAAAGCGCACTCCGGCCGAGTTAATTCGGAACGAGTTAAATCCTCACAAAATCTGGAAGTAATTACACAAGAATTAAACTTACCTACGGTCGCAAAGCACAAGAGAACCCCCATCGAAGCAAATGAAGCAAACATCTTCGTCTTCATCCTCCTGCTTTGCCCGCTTCTGCGGCGGGGGCTTCACAGCAAGCTGCCCCCTCGGCGGTCTTCCTCTCTTTTTCTTGTCGTCAGCTCCGATCACCCGATCCGTCGCCGGAACTGCAGTCTCCGGCGTCCGGTTGGCCGTCGAACGCAGAAGATCTCTGGAGACCTCCACAGGAGCTTCAACCAGCTGGGAGTCACCCAAATCGCCTGGAATCTCCGGCGACGAATCAAAGTTCACTAACCTTGACGGCGGCGGCGGAGGAGGAGTAGGAACAACAGGCTCATCGTCGTCAAAGCCTTGGGTCTGAGCCACTGCAGCCAACAAAGTCTCTATGTTCTCCATAAAACCTACTCAAACCCCAGACTTGTCAAATTCGGAGCAAGAACCGAAATCCACGATCATCACCACTTTGCCCTCTTTTCAGCAAATCAAGAAAACCCAATTGCGAGATGAAAGAAGAATTTTTAAAAAGGAAAAAAAAAATGGACGGTGGATGTGGGTTGAAGCAGGGGATGGGGTGACTCGGTGAGCAAAGTCTTGGACTGTAGCAATAAAATCGCAAGACTTTAGAGAGTAAAATTATGTCGAAAAAAAAGAAGTTGAAATTAGCAAGAGAGCAGCCCCACACACACACACACATAACACACCCACCAAGTGTTTGATGCTATGTCACACAGAAAAGAGTCAATGAACTGAAACGCGGGGGATGGCCATGGGGGGCCAGCACAGAATTGAGGAACACGTGATTGGAGGTTCAAATGGGCTCCCCTCCCCTCTCTCTCTCTCTCTCTCTCTTTCTCTCTCTACAACTTTTTTAAGGTGATTGATAGTGCGAGAAAAAGTTACTTTGAGTTTTTGTATTTGTTGTGGGAGGATAATAATAATAATAATAAAAAGAGAAAAAGAAAAAGAAAGGGTAGAATAATTGGAGTATCTCCTCCGGCCATCTGTGAATTAGGTCTGAGACGTAGACATGTGACACCTGACTGACTGACGGAGGAGGCGGAAGAAGAAAGAAGGTGGCCCAACTCAGATTCCCATTTTCTCTCTCTTTCCTTCTTTTTTAGCCATTTTTTTATTTTTTTATTTATAATCTGCTTCCATCTTCTTTCACATTTATTCATCTTTCATCTAATTTAATCATCACATTAATTCATGTCCTAATTTATTCCATTAATTAGTAAACTTTAAGTCTTTTTTTATTTTTTTCATATTCTAACTTGGAATAGAATTTCTGAATTTCGCCAATTTCTGTTTCTCGACTTTAATTTTATACATAAGATCTTGATTTTTCATTCGATTTTAATTTTCAAAAGCATAGTTTTTTGTGGATAAATATCACATTTTTATTATAGAACTGTTTCATGTTTTACTTCTGAACAAGTTATTTCATTGCGATTTCCAATATTAATCCTTTTGCAATATGTTTAGAAAATACTTGGAATTAGTTTTTCACTTGTGAAAGAAAATATAATAAATTGTAAACAAGCAAATATAATCTTAATCGTAATGTAAATCCAAGCTAACATATTTTATGAATACATATTAAAGCAAGATATAAATGCTAATTAATCCACTTCATTTAAATACAATGAAGACTTCCTTATTTTCATACCTACAAAGCCATCATCCATTAAAAGTAAAACATGAAATTTAATACTTTTAAATTAAGACATAATTCTAAATTTAGGAAAGATAACTCATTTTCAATCAAAGAAAACTTTGTCCTATAATAAAGAGAAGGAATAAAATAATAATTTCCTTCTCTTTATACTCTTATAAAGTTCATTTTCTATTTTTTTTATTTTTTTATTATAATTTTTTTTTTTTTGAGGAAATCATAATAGTCTATAAAATGAGTCCCTATAAAGGCCCGGCCCAAAATAATAAAGGGCCATTTGTAAAACATTTTTTGGGCCATTCCTCAAAATCTTCTTTCAATACATTTTTCATATAAAAAATAAAATAAAAATTGCAAAATTCAATCTAAATTTTAAATAATTAATTTATGTGTGACAAATTAAAAATTTCTCCACTTATTAAATTCAAAAAAAATTGGATAGTCACCTCAGCTTTTACAGTTCCCCGAAAAGCCCTTGACAAACTCGTATATTACATGAACCCAACAAACAAATACTATGAAAGGGAGAAAAAAATAAAAATTCAATCTTTGTTGCTTCAACAACATTTCTTATCCCCACCGTTTCGATTACTTCTTCGATCATTCGTTCGGGTTAAATAAAACATTCATCTTTTTTTAGTTGGAAACCCATAATTCATTGTCGGTTTCGTGTCAATCTGTCCGAATCCCATAAATACTTCAATCCGATCTCAATTCGGTTTTGAAGTATGCAGAGAAGTAGACGCAGGTGCGAGGGTACTATCATGGGCTCGATCGTACTCGATCTCCGCCCCGGCATCGGCATCGGCCCTTTCTCTCTCGGTAAGCCCTAATTCACCTCTTAATTTGATCGGTATAAATCCTGTTTGATTAGAAATTGCTTCTGGACTTTACCCCTTTAAACCTGGATGCATAATTGATTGGGACTCTGTTCACCATTTTTCTCTCAGCTCGTTATTGATTCTGTAATCATGGGGCCTTTTTTTTTTTTTTGGGTTCGATGTTCAAATGATATTTTTGGGGGATTTTCTGATAAGGACACAGGTTGTGTAAGCTGATCAAGTTTTTGATTGATTTTTTTTGGGGGTTCTTCATATATAGTGTTGTTTTATAGTGGAAGTTGTGCATAAGATGATGTTTATAAATTTATTCGACGGTGAATTTCAGGGATGCCGATATGCGAAGCCTTTGCACAGATAGAGCAGCAGCATAATGTTTATGACGTTGTTCATGTCAAGTACTATGACGAGGTTTGTCATTGATTTGATTGGTTCACAATGGCGCTAAAATCGATCTGTTGCATGCATCCATTTTTTGTGAGAAAAAAAATTGTGTTTTATTGTACATGCCGAGTTTGATTTTTGTAGTTTAGATGAAGTACTCGTTTACCTTGCTGCATCCATGACTTTGGTTGTGGTTATATTGTCGGTTTTGTTGATTAGATTTCGATTGGATTTTTTTTAGCAGTTTTCTTGTTTGTCGTTTCTAATTCAGAGGTCTTCATTTTGTTACATTATGTCATGTAAAAGAATTACGCAGACACTTATTCATAACCTTTGATCTGCAGGAGCCTCTGAAGCTTGACATCGTTATTAGCTTTCCTGACCATGGATTTCATCTTAGGTTTGATCCTTGGTCTCAGGTATTTTCTCTTTAAATAAGATTCTGTTTTTTTATTTCAAAATATAATTTTGTCCAATCAAAAAGGATTTTTTATTCTGTTCTAGCACATATACATCAACATCCTGCTCAATATTTTATTCTCTGTATCAGAGGTTGCGCCTTATTGAAATTTATGATGTCAAACGGCTTCAGATGCGTTATGCCACTTCCTTGATCGGGTAGGATCTTGTGCCAAAATTCGAAGCTTTTTAATTTTTTATTTTAAAGAATTGATTTTTTACATAGATTTTACTTCCAGGGGACCATCTACTCTAGCCACTTTTGTAGCTGTCTATGCTCTTTTCGGGCCCACATATCCCGGCATTTATGACAAAGAAAGGGGCGTTTACACTCTATTTTACCCAGTATGTTGATTAACTAATTAATTTATTTATTTCTCGTGCCATTTCGTATTATCTATTAACAATTCGTAATCACTTTATTTCACAGGGTTTATCCTTCGCTTTCCCAATTCCCCCACAATATGCTGAATGCTGTCACAAACGAGAAGGTAATAATTTGTCAGTTACGTCTTTTCATTCAGACAACAAGATCCTCTATTCATGGTGCTAAATTGTCCTTTCTGCCCCTGTCTTTGCATTTGAAAGCCGAACTGCCGTTAGAATTTCCAGACGGAACAACTCCAGTTACTTGTCGTGTCTCGATATACGACTCTTCTACAGACACTAAGGTTGGTGTAGGATCTTCAATGGCTAAGGCAATTGTACCTCCTTTGCCCGATAAGAGCCTCTACATGGAACAAGTGCAAGTCACGGTCGGATATTTTCTTAACCTTTCTTCACATTTGTTTTTCTTTTCATGAATATTTAACTTTTGAAAATTTGCAGTTCACCTGAATTAATATATCCTGTATTTTTTTTAATAGTTAGGGGAAGAATTATGGTTTACTGTCGGTGGCCAGCATATTCCTTTTGGTGCATCACCACAGGTACGAATGCTTTCGAAATGATAATGAATTTTTTTTATTTTTTAAATTTTTATTTATAAAATTTGTCGTTATATATATATATATATATATATATATATATATATATATATATATATATATATATATATATATATATATATATGCAGGATGTATGGACTGAACTAGGACGCCCCTGTGGAATTCACCAAAAACAGGCATATATACCTGTTTTAATTATTCGTGTTTTCTTACTTTAACTATAATTTTTAGTTTTAATTGGATTAATTTATGACGTCGAGTGATTATTAAGTTTTGTGAGTGGCTCAGGTGGACCAAATGGTAATCCATTCAGCTTCGGATCCTAGGCCAAGAACAACCCTCTGTGGGGATTACTTCTACAATTATTTCACCCATGGCTTAGATATTTTATTCGATTGGCAGGTACTATTTCTTTTTTTAATTTTATTATTGTGAAAAAAAAATCGTTGTTGATCAAATAAATAAAAATATGGAGTTTTGAGATGATTTTGGGCATGTTCTGCAGACTCATAAAGTAAAGAAGTTTGTTCTGCATACCAACTATCCCGGGCATCCAGATTTTAACTCATACATGAAGTGCAACTTTGTTATATATAGTTCTGATTGTAAGTTATTCACCTTTTCTCAATTTAATTTTATTTTACGGTGAAGGAGATTAACATCAATTAATTTTTTTTATTAATATATTTCAGTTGGTGAGACAATGCATCAGGATGTGAATACCTCTAAATATGGCATTACCCCTAGCACAAAGTGGGAACAAGTCAAGGTGACACATGTACATTTATTATTGGTTTAACCAAACATACTTCATTTTATTCGAACAATTGTTGATCCTATTAAAATTGGGATATTGTGTTTTGAAATTCCCTGCATTTTATTTTCAAAATTATGCAGGAAATTCTTGGTGATTGCGGTCGAGCTGCTATTCAAACACAAGGCTCTACAAGCAACCCTTTTGGATCTACATTCGTATATGGTTATCCAAATGTTGCCTTTGAGGTGAGTCCTTTACTTCAAACTATTTGGCCTTGTTTGCGTATATTGATGGGATTGATAAGATCTTTTTTTTTTGAAATAAATAAATTTATCTGTCGAGGGCTTGAAACCAAAACCAAAAACATTTGACGAACCTTGATTATATTTGTGTATCAAGTCCTATCATGATTCCCAAACAAGGCCTTACAGTATTTCGGTTTCTTTGGATATGCTTACAAATTACAGGTGATGAAGAATGGATACATTGCAACTGTAACTCTTTTCCAGTCTTAGTATTCTACAGACAGGTATTTTCTGCTGTTATATATTCTGTATTGCCATGTGTTCTTTAATTGTGTTTGATCATCTAATTATTGGTAATATCCTTTTTTTTGCCCTATGTTTTTTTTGTCTGCAGGAGCAGAGGGCAACTTGTACAAAGACAAACGGTTGGAACATAGTAATGTTATGGCATTGCACAAAGGTGGGAAGTGTTGGAACATGTACAATATGTAAACTTGTTTGTAAATAACATCTAAAACATATTTATTTATTTATACATTGCCAAAATAGCATGCATGTTCTTTCTTTTACTCCAAAAAAAGAAAAAAACAAACAACAATTGTATACATCTCTGCAATTATGTTCATACATGTCAAGATTGCAACATACAATCCTATAGGTAGAACATAAATGACTGGCTATTTATTATGAGAAAAGAATTAATGTTGCATCGTACTCCCAAACAATATATCCTAATTAATATATATATATATATGAAAGCTCTGTTATTAGATCATAAATTAGTGAGCCATTCATGGCCATCAATGAAGCTAAGTGATACAAATGGCTGAGCCTCTTGCTTTGTGAGCTCCCTTGCCCACGATACTCTCCCTCCATAATTCGCTCCGGGCCCCGAACACTTGAATTGCCCGTAGAACACAGTCCTGCACGAAAAAAAGTAAGAAAGACAAACCCCGATATTCTCAATTTCACATTTCATTTCAATTTTAAGGCAAATTTGCACTTACCTTCGGTAAGGTTAAGCAAAATTACACTTAGACCCCTTAAGTTTGATAAAATTATAGATACCTTCATTGAGGTTTGAGTTCAGGCTCTGTTTGACTATTTACTTATTCAAAATTCTATTTTTACCTTTGAACAAAATGTAAAAAAACCCGTGAACCAAAATTTGAGTAAATTACACCACCCTCCCCTCAAATTTGGTCTAATTACATATAGTATCCTTCGCATTTGAAAAATAGTACAAAAACATCCCTTCAAAATTTAATTTTAATGCAAAACTGAGCTTACATGTTATTATTCTAATCAATCTTTTCTAACTAAATCAACCGATAAATGTGGTTAAATGTTGGCTAAACCCAAACCTCAATCAAAGTTTGTGTAATTTTCCAAATCCGAGAGGGCCTAACCAATGAAAATATCGAAATAGAGGGAGCGATTGAGTAAAAAAGAAACTTACATGTGCCTCTGCTTATCACCCCAATCATACCATCCACGTGGCGTGATAATTTTATCCATATACGTAAAAGCAAACACCACTCTGGAAAAACTCCCCCAAGCCCGGCCCAAATAGAGGGCGCCATTACCGGTGACCTTGCAGTTGACAAAGGAGAATCCAGTTTCATCAAGCATACTCTCTCTCTTCTGCGCAGTTAGGGCACCGTAGTTGTTTGTCTTGGCGTGAAGGTGACAGCTGTCGTACAGAGATAGGCCGTCTCCGAATATGAAATCCACCGAGCCTTGGATATGGCAGTTTTTGAAGTAGTGCCTCCCTTTGTGGTCGTATAGTGTGTCCTGCGCTCCCACGAATTTGCAGTTTATGAACGCCGCCATATCGGCGGAGATGCGGAGGGCCACCGCCTGCTTTCCGATGGCTCCTGCTAGCGGCGCTGGGGACTTATTCTGATACATTTCACTAACAACTTAAACTTTTGGTTGAACTGGTCATTCAACAATATATATATTATATTATAGAGATATATACCTTAAAGGTGATGTTCCTGGCAAGAAAAAAAGGAGCATTGACGGCGAAAGTAGCGGAGCCGTAAGTACCCAACGCCGCTCCGTTAGGTCCAATCCGATCAGCCGTGTCATCCCACCGGATTATTGTCTTTGCCGCACCGCTTCCTTCCAATGTTACATATGCCATACTCGCCGGAATTTCTATCTTTTCCCTACATACATACATATTTAAAATCAACACTATTATTTAATAATAAAAAAATTAAAGAAAGTGATGGTAATTAATAATATATATGTAAATATACCTGTAAGTTCCAGGACTAACCGAAATAACTACCCGGCACGGATTGAAAAGAGGGATAGAATTGATGGCCTTTTTGACAGTGGTGAAGTCTCCTAATTTCGGGTTCTGGTTGACTTTAATAAATTTGCAAGGCTCGAATTTGTTCTTTGCCTCGACGAAGCTGTTGGTAGAGTGGTTGCGAGAGCTCATTCGTTTTATCCAATCGAAGTAGCGCTTTTCGGTTTTTCGCAGCTCGTTGAATTTGGTCTTCTTCTTGGAATGTGATTTGGAAGAGTTTGCAGTAATAACAATATTGCTCAAGAACAAGATTAATAACATTACACATAACTTCTTCTTGGACCCCATTATTGCTGTCATTTCTCTTTTTTTGCAACCTTATAGAGATTGTTTATAAGTAGTAGGAGAGAGAGAGAGAGAGAGAGAGAGAGAGAGAGAGAGAGAGAGAGAGAGAGAGAGAGAGAGAGAGAGAGAGAGATTGGGGGTATATGGTAGCTGTAGTAGTGTGAATGAGTAATGTGTCAACCCGTGTTATGTGTTGTCTGTTTTTGTCACACACAGTACAGAAACACCGAAACACACACATAATAAGAGAAGAAATGAAAATCCAAACAAATGCAATTTACCTTATCTATATTACATGGATTCAGTTTGTGCACCTATGTGAAAATTGTATTGTATTGTATGGCATCAGATTTGACAAATAACACACAAATCCAACAGTTTTATTACAAGGGGGGGAGGGGGACCACTGGAATAGTAGAACATGCAGCATGCACACATAATTTGTTGTCCAATTGTGAAGAAAAAAAAAATAAGATGATAAATTTGTTGGCAAAAAGATGTATTTTATTTCTTTGTATAGCAACTAAAGACAAGGTTCTAAAAATATTAATGGAAAGGTATAAAAAGGAGGGGTCTTTTTAGGAATTGAAGCATGCTGTGGAGTGGCAAAAGTCAAAATAATAGCTGGTAGTGATACATACCATACCTTGAGAATCCTACTCACTACTCCCTCAAAGTCTATACTATATATGCTATACTAGGTGAAATACATTGTGTATATATTTACTACTCATATATACATAATTACACATACACCCATATTGGTGTGTGTAAATTAAGAATAAAAATCCACATGATGTAACATTCACCGAATGTAGCATGAAAATAACCGATCAAGAATGACATAACTTGAACTATGATTGATTGAAAGAAGTGTCTAGCTTTAATTTAATATTTATTTAATTTATGCAAAAAAGAAAAGAAAATAGTGATAAAGGTATGATACTTTATTTATGTTTCTTAGCCATTTATTATAAATGTTCTTATTGGGCCCAACCGGCTATGGGCCGCCAACGTGATTTAAATAATATAAAAAATAAATACGGAAAATCAAAAACAAATTTTCCGTTGCCGGGACTTGAACCCGGGTCTCTCGGGTGAGAGCCGAGTATCCTGACCAACTAGACTACAACGGAATTGTAGTATTGATTAAATTTAGAGTATATTTAAAAACAACTTAAAAACTCGGAAGCAAAAACCCTTACTTCGGTTCTTCAACTCTCCATTGTTACTCCTATCCACTGTCGACACTCCTCTGCTCAGGTACTTGTGCGATTCTTCTTCATTTCCTGATTATTATGCTTTTGATTTTCATTTATATACATTTGCATTTCTTTTTTGGTTACTTCAATTGTAACATATGAAATAAGAACCAAGTTAAATTTCAATTTCACACAACGCTTCTGTTTTTTGGCCCCTTAATTTTTGGAGCTGTTGAAATTGTCGGCTGATGATATGCGCCGCTGATTACTTCTTCCTCTGTTCTTCATAGGTGATGGTAGCATTGGAGGTTTCCGATGCCTTAATTGCATATAGTTTTTGCCTTATTAGTGGATAATTGTTGTTTCATTGTACAGACATATTTTTGAATTGATTAGATTATTGTACTGTTTTCCAATTTTTAGAGATATCCTTGTGAAAGTGTTAGCAAGCATGAAGATATGCCAAAATTGTAGCTTGGATAAAAGTACTCATATTGTTTAATTTAATTTTTATTTTTTGTTTTGTTACTGCAGCCTTTGATCTTTGTATAAATTAGCAGCACTGTTTACATATTTAGCAACGATGTCGTCTGGATTAACTTATAGCCCATTGAGATATAGCCTTGGCTTACCAGCAAGAGGACATGGATCGAATAACAAGCAAGCTGCATTATTTCCAAATTTCCGTATATCTTTGGATTTGCTCTCTCTGCAAAGGTAAAAAGGTTTCGTAATTCATGTATTAAGTTTCTGCATTTATATAATTTGCTGTCACTGATTTTCTATGTGGGTGCAATTACGTAGAAATGGTTTGGCTGCATCAACTTGGAGATTAAAACCACGACGCAATCCTTTCCTTAATTGTGCAATGGATGCTACCTTTGGTGGTTCCTCTAATGACTCAACTGGTATTTTTTGTTGATTATTCGACCCTTTTCTTTTATTTTCTTTGTTTAATGTGAGATATGTTTTCTGATCTTCGGTACGCTAATCGTCGATGAAAGAGTTCTTCTGTTTTAGGGAATATTCTCATTGGTGCTAATACTGTTAAGAGTTATGTGTTATGAAGAAGATGGATCAATAATGATATATTTCCAAATTCTTGGCAAGTTCTCTGCCCACTAGTAATAAAACCTGTCATCTTATCGAGCCAAGATGAAATAAACTTGAATTCTAGTCAATATTTGGTAAATAACTTATATATTGTTTGAGGTCACTCACTGAGGTCTAAGTAATTTGAAGTCGTGTTTTAAATGTATTATTGTTGGCAAAAACATTACTAAACTATGGATGTCGATAGCAGTTGGTGATATTTGACATGCTATTGATATTTATGGATTTTTGAGATGGCTCTTGTTGGAGTTTATTGCATTTAGTACCCCTATGCTATATAGAATTTGCTCAAAAACTCCCTTGCAATCATCTATTTATTTCTCGACCCTCTAAATGGTGGTTTTTTAGGAGGTAGTTTGCTAAAAAAATTGTATCATAGGAGGGTTTTTTCTAATATTTATAAGACGGGAGTTTTTTAACAATTAAAGTAATCACATGGGGTGCTAAATACAATAAACTCGTTTACCATTTCTTATTTCTCGTCTCACATTGGATTCATCTTCTTACAGCTATCTTTCCTAGAATTAACGTGCGGGACCCATACAAGCGACTAGGAATCAGTAAGGAAGCTTCCGAAGACGAAATCCAAGCTTCTAGAAACTTCTTGATACAAACATATGGAGGTCACAAGCCCAGTGTGGATGCAATCGAATCAGCGCACGATAAAATCATAATGCAGAAATTTTACGAAAGAAAAAACCCTAAAATCAATATCAAGAAAAAGGTCAGAGAAGTAAGCCAGTCTAAATATATCCAGGCTGTCACGAGCAGGTTCCGAACACCATCCACAAATGTCATCGTAAAAACTGCCATTGCCTTTGTGGTGCTCGGAGCGCTGACTGTACTCTTTCCCACTGAAGAGGGTCCCACACTTCAAGTTGCAATTTCGTTGATAGTTACTATGTATTTCATCTATGATCGGCTCAAGAGCAAACTGCGGGCTTTTCTCTATGGGTAAGTATGCTCTTTGCTTTTCCATATGAATGAAAGAACACATTTTTTTTTCTTTCTATTATAATTCTAAGGAATGAATCAACATAAAAAAGAAGCATAGTATATTCAAAATTCAGAAGTGTTCTGTAGGTGTGAATTATTGTTAGGGTTGGAAATTGAAACGGGAATTCCGAATTCCGCTTATTCCGATCTGAAAATTTTCTAAATTTGGAACTATACTTTTCATTCCAAATTCCGAAACTTCTGATTTTTCTTGGGACGGAATTGGAATACATATTAGATTCTGATTTCCGATCCGATTTTCATTACTGAAAATTACACTTATGATAAGTAGTATTATTATGCATTTTGTATTATAGGATGCCAAAAAATTGGAATTTCAGAATTCCGCAGATTTCGATCCGAAAATTTCCGGATTTGGAATAAGGTTTTTCATCCCAATTTCCCAAAAAAAATGGAATTTTTCCAAAAGTGCTAATTCCGATTCGATCTATTACACCCCTAATTATTGCCAAGTCTCTTTTGCACATTACGTGTTTTTAATTGACTAATGGTTGATTTTATTTTTTAAATTTATTTATTAAATTGTTGTTATAATTGTGTAGGGCTGGGAGTTTTGCTCTTGCATGGCTTCTCGGAACATTCTTGATGGTTTCGGTGATGCCACCGATACTCAAAGGGCCGAGAAGTTTGGAAGTGACGACTTCATTGATAAGCTACATTATCCTTTGGGTTTCTTCTACTTATCTTCGATAATCGTTTTTTCTTTTTTGAAATATTTAAACTCAGTTTTGTCAGATTAATCATAGCTGCTTCATGAGTTAATTTACAATTTTCGAATGCTTTATGCTCCTTCGATATCGAATTGCTGTTTTTACTGTTACAGGATATGTCAATACAGATTTAGTACAAGAGTTTGTCTGTGATTTTCTGAAATTGTCAAAAATGCCACAAATTACATGATCATTTGTTCTGCAAGCTTTCTTCGTTTGAGATTGTTTTACTTATGAAAATATTGTTGCATTACTTTTTGCATTTGTCAACTTTAAATAGTCAAATATGAAATATGATTATAGATGCATAGCAATATTAGTATATATCACTACCAAAATGACAGTTTTAGCCTCCACGGGCATGACTATGACCATTGAATATATTATGACCATTAAGCAGTTGACGAAATTTAGATATTTATTGCAAAAAAAACAAATAACAATAATTTAGTTATAATTCGTTTTCTTATTCTAGAAATATGGTCTAATTCCATTAATTAGTCAGACAAAATTAGGACAATTGCTATTAATTAGAAAAACAAATCACAACAATTTTGTTTTCACACGCCTCGATCTATCTTACGTTAGCGTAATCAAAATCAAAAGTCTGAACAAAAAAAAAAAGAGAGAGAGAAAACCCAATTCCTTGCATCTCTTCCCATTCAGATTTAATTCAACACCTCTCTGTTTTTCTTACCTCTCTGAAAACAAATCATTTTCACAGAGGTAAGAAGCAGACGAGTGTGTCTCTAACGACAAAACAGAAAATACCATTTCTTGAAAAAAAAAAAAAGAAAAAAAAAACCAGATTTTCCCAAGATTTCAGGTAAAAAAAAAATCATTTTTTGGTTTTTTACATTATATATATACATATATATATGATTGGAATTAATATATATAGCAGTTGACTCAGACATCAGTCTTTTTGCTGCAGGTGATCATCATAGAGAGCCTGTAGTTTGCATAAGAATTTTTTTAATAGGGTTGATTGTGAAATTATCATAAGTCTTGGGGATGTAAATGGAGATAATGGAAAGTGGTGGGGGTTTGATCAGATGCAACGATGAAAGGATTTACGTGTCGGTTAGGTTGAGGCCGTTGAACCATAACGAAATTTCGAGCGGTGATGTTTCAGATTGGGAATGCATCAATAACAACACTATTGTTTACAAGAATATTAGTCTTGTTTCCTCGGAGAGGTCAACTTATCCCAATGCATATACATTTGGTAAACTTCTTTCGATATTGCAATTTTCGATAGTTAGACATATATATTTCTCCACTAATTTATTTTATTTTATTCTAATTTTTATATAGATAGAATATTCGGGAGTGAATGCTCGACGAGAGAGGTGTACGAGAAGGGAGCTAAGGATGTTGCTATTTCAGTTTGCTGTGGGATTAATGGTAAGCATGAGTTTTTCTTTTTCTTTCAAGATTTTTTTTTGAATATTTTTTTCGGGTTTTTGACTATGATGAGATTTTTTGTGTAGCTACTATTTTTGCGTACGGGCAAACAAGCAGCGGAAAGACGTATACGATGACTGGAATTACTGAATACGCGATACAAGATATATATAACTATATACAGGAAGTGAGTTTAAAATGCTAATGTATATCATCCAATATTAAATTACTATGCAGATTTAATATTTTAATAAATAAATTTTTTTTTTTCAGTATCAAGAAAGAGATTTTATCTTGAAATTTTCTGCTATGGAGATTTACAACGAATCTGTTCGTGATTTGCTCAATGTAGATAACACTTCACTAAGACTTCTAGATGATCCAGAGGTGAATCTTTTTTTTTCGATAGAATATTCGATTAGCATTTTTTTTTAATTTATTTATTCGTTTAGCTCATGTTTACGTTTCTGTTAGAGAGGAACCATTGTAGAGAAACTCACCGAGGAAATTTTAAATGACCGGGATCATGTGACTCGTCTTCTTTCCGTTTGTGAAGGTAACGAATTTTTTTTTTTTTAGCTGCAATTGTTTCGTACAATGTCCGAAATTTGAGGTTTCTGCACTTTTTTCCTTTTCTTTTCTTGCAGCTCAAAGGCAGATCGGAGAGACGTCAATTAACGAAAGGAGCTCAAGATCACACCAGATTATTCGGCTGGTAATTACTATTTTCTTGAAATTTCTACGTATTTAATTCATCGAGACATAAAATTGAATTATTGCAGACCGTTGAAAGCTCTTCCCGTGAGATTTTAGCTGGGAACTCCGCGAGCACACTTTCAGCTATCGTGGTATGGAAAGAAAGAAATATAATAATTAAAACATAATTAGGATATGGTTTCAGACAATTTCCGTGTTTTATTATTGAAAGTCGGGTTTTTTTTGTTTTTTTTTTTAATGCAGAATTTTGTTGATCTAGCTGGAAGCGAACGAGCATCCCAATCATTATCAGCTGGTACGAGGTTAAAAGAAGGCAGCCACATTAACCGCAGTTTACTCACACTCGGAACTGTTATTCGCAAGCTGAGGTTTGTTACTCGTATACACATTAAATATACATATATATATACGCATCAGTGTCTGCCTTTTTTGTTAATCTGTATTGAAGTTGTTATACATATATACGTATATATACAAATACAGCAAGGATCGAAACGGACACATTCCTTATAGAGATTCAAAGCTAACTCGAATCCTCCAAACATCGCTTGGAGGAAATACTAGGACAGCTGTCATATGCACGATAATCCCTTCGCACAGTCATTCCGAGCAATCGAGGAACACTCTTCTTTTCGCCAGCTGTGCAAAGGAAGTGACCACCAATGCACAAGTTAATGTTGTCTTGTCCGAAAAGGCGCTCGTAAAGCATTTGCAGAAGGAGGTACAAAGACTAGAAAACGAGCTCAAAGGCCGCCCGCATAATTTCGCCCCGTCGAATTATTCCGCATTACTGAGAGAGAAAGATTCTCAGATCGAAAAGGTAATAAATCACGATCGTGGCTAATAAATGTTTGGAGCTTTTCATTGAAGTTTTCATTTTCGTTTTCTACGTAGCTCGAGAAAGAGATTAAAGAACTAATTCTGCAACGAGATATCGCTCGATCGCAAGTTAAGGAGTTTGTACAATTGCTTGGAGATGAAGCAAGTTCCATAACACAGGTAAAAACATTTAATTAAAAATGAATTCTTTTTCTTCTTTAATTTTTTTTTTTTTTCGTCGTTTTTTGTTTACGTCTAGGTAGGAGTGGGGCACTACCCACACTTACGAGTGCAGAACTCACCGGATGATTCAATATCAGACGTTGATGCCGCAACTTGTTCCGATGGACACAGTAGGAGTGATTCAGGGGATAATAATTTTGCAAAAGTACCGTTTTTCGACGACAACTTTGTCCAAAACTATGCATCTCCTAGAATCTTACTAAGCAGCTCGAATTCTTCTAGAAGCTTCTCGTATAACGATTGGGAAGATATTGAGAAACAAAGTAATGATGATGGATCGACTTCGATAGTCAAAGTCCATGCAAATCTATCCGACGATCGAGAATTTATTTCGTCTCCTTTGAAGGATGATAACGAACTAAAGGGAGGTCAAGAAAAGATTGTTTCGGCTTCAATCATGGGTGGTGAAGAAAGAGATTTTAGTTCGATTCGATATCTCGATATTGCATTTCTTGAAAAACGATCTTCGAATTTCGCTAAGGATCCTTTTGGCGCTAGAAGCTCGAACTTGAGTAGAAGTAAAAGCTGCAAAGCAATGATCATTTTCGATGCAGAACCAACCGCTGGATCAGAAACAGCCGAGCTTTCAACTAAACAAGAAATCACCATAAAACCGGTGAGTTTTGAACATCTTTCCTTTATCACAATATTATTATTAGGGTAAATTACAATAAACCCCCTAAACTAAGGTCAATTTACCAAAAAAAAAAACCTCATGTATCCATAATTACCAAAACCCCCCTAAAGTTTGTTGTCGTCCTACACTATCCCCTTACGGTGTGAATTTGAATACGTGAGGATGTCTTATTTGTAATTATGAATACTTGAAGGGTAATTTTGTAATAGACCTTAGTTCGGGGGGGTTTGGTAATTTTACCGTATTATTATCATTATTATTTAAATAATGCCTTGGTATGTGATGTTGTATGAAGGAAACCGAGATTGTACCAAAGGTGAACGAGTCTTCTACGAAGGAAGGGAAAAAAGTTGGATTGTATCCTATAGAAGACGAGCATAAGGGACTTACGAGTTGGCCCGTCGAATTCAAAAGACTGCAAAGAGAAATAATCGAACTGTGGCATGCATGCAATGTCTCATTGGTGCATAGAACTTACTTCTTTTTGCTATTTCAAGGAGATCCGTCGGACGCTATATATCTCGAAGTCGAACTAAGGAGGATGAAGTTCTTAAAGGATAAATTCGCTCGAGGAGATAAGACCGTTGTCAATGGAAAACGTCTTACACTTTCGTCAAGGTGATATCTTTCACTTCTCTTTCTACCAAGACTCGTTTTTTTTTTTTTTTTTTTTGGTCGATGATATATTTTGTTTATTTATAAATATAAATAGTGCAAAGGCTCTTCGTCAGGAAAGACGAACGCTGAGCGAGCAGATGATGAAGAAGTTTTCGGAACAAGAAAGAGAAATCCTCTTCATCGAATGGGGGATTGGTCTCAACACCAAACTCAGAAGGCTACAGCTGGCTAACTTGGTCTGGTCCAAGACACAAGATATAAACCACGTTACAGACAGTGCATTTCTTGTTGCAAAGCTCGTTGGTTTTATCGAACCAGGGCAACAACCTAATAAAGAAATGCTAGGTGTAAATTTCGCACCAAAGTCCTCTACAGGAATTTATAGCTTCAAACGTAGCCTTGTATCTATACTGTGATGTTCTAGTATATATAGATCCGTATATACTCTCTTCTTCTTTTTCGCCTTTCGATGTACAGCAGGTAAATAACAGAGTACAAGAACTGATTGAAGATAAATTGAAAGAAAAAAAGAATATAGCAATCCAAACTCACTCTATATAGAGTGAATTACTTGTAACTCACATTGATCTTGTCATTTACATGATCCCCCACACTGCATTACTTGCATTATATATATACTTACCAAAACATCATCAAATGTACGAGAATCGGGAAAGAATCAAAACAATGAAAACGAACAAAAAAATGACAAACGAAACTTTATCACGCATTAGAACTAAACTCACTCATTGTGTAAGTCAAACCACTTATCAGCTTAATTCCTCTGCATTTTTAATCACCCAATGAACTCCAATTCTCTTAACAAATGCTCTCTCTCTCACTTCTTCGCTGGTTCAGGCTTAGGCTTTTCTTCCTCGGAAGTTACTTTCTCCAACTTTGTTTCCTTCACCGGTTTTTGCGATGGTTCTATCTTTGTAACCAGAGCTGGTTCTGGCTCCTCGATTTTCTTAGGCCCTGAGGTTTCAGGTTTCTTCTCGGGTATTTCAGGCGCCTTCGCTGTCTGAACAACAACAACTTTCTCTTCTGCTTTCTTTTTTTCTGCATCTGGAGCTGGTTTTTGCTCCTCGGTTTTCTTCTCTGATGTTTCAGGCTTTGTTGTCTGAACAGGCTTCTCTTCTGGTTTCTTCTCCTCGATTATTTTTTGTGATGGTTCTATCTTTGTAACCACATCTGGTTTTGGCTCCTCGGTTTTCTTAGTCACCGAGGCTTCAGGTTTCTTCTCAGGTATTTCAATCGCCTTTGCTGGCTGAACAACAACTTTCTCTTCTGCTTTCTTCTTTTCTGCATCTGAAGCTGGTTTTGGCTCCTCAGTTTTCTTCTCTGATGTTTCTGGCTTTGCTGTCTGAACTGGCTTCTCTTCTGGTTTTTTCGCCTCGGTTATCTTAGCCTCCGAGGTTTCTGGTTTCTTCTCAGGTATTTCAAGCGCCTTTGCTGTCTGAACAACAACAACTTTCTCTTCTGGTTTCTTCTTTTCTGCATCTGAAGCTGGTTTTGGCTCCTCGGTTTTCTTCTCTGATGTTTCGGCCTTTGCTATCTGAACCGGCTTCTCCTCTGGTTTCTTCTCCTCGATTTTCTTTGCCTCTGGTGTTTCAGGCTTCTTCTCAGGTATTTCAAGCGCCTTTGATGTCTGAACAACAACAACTTTGTCTTCTGGTTTCTTCTTTTCTGCATCTGGAGCTGGTTTTGGCTCCTCAATTTTCTTCTCCGATGTTTCTGGCTTTGCTGTCTGAACCGGCTTCTCTTCTGGTTTCTTCTCCTCGATTTTCTTTGCCTCCGAGGTTTCAGGTTTCTCATCTGTACAAGGTTTCTTTTCCTCAGGTTTTTCTGTCTTAACGATCTCTACTTCGGCCGGTGTTTCAACCTTAACAATCTCAGCAGCTGGTTCCTCTTCTGCTTTCTTCTCCAATGCCACTGGTTTCTCTGAAGTTTCGGCCTCTGTTTCAACCTTCGCTGGAGCATCAACACTTTTGACATTTTCGTTTTCTTCTGATTTGATCTCCGTTGCTTCCTCTGGTTTTACTGTCTCATTCTATAAAAAGTTGCCAAATAATATGAGATGCATCAGTTAAAAGTACAAGTGCAGAAGAAACAAAAGCAAAATCACACAGGAGAAAGAGCACTTTGTATTACCAGAGAGATTCATGAATTGATGGAGACAAACACAAGTGTTGTTAGGGTTTCAATTAGCATATTAATCAATCAAATATATGTAGGGTAACCAGTAACAGAGATATATCCTTGTTCATCAACAAACAAAACAAGATTAAAAGTTAACATCCCTTTTTGAATTCATTAGCTAAAACATCATAAGAATATTGATCCACTTTTCGAAATCATTAACTAAAACATAGTGGAATTCTGAAATTTTAAATCTAAAACTGTCAGCAATTATTGGCACTGTAATCTGCTCTTGTACGCTAATAATAAAATAAATAAAATTGCAGATATTTATGAGGAATTTCACCTCCGAGAGCAAACGGCCGAGCGATTTACTCTTAGATTCATCGCCATCTGCTGCCGGAGCCTCCGCCGGAGCCACCGCCGCCGGTTCACCGTCCTTTTTGACCAATTGCTCCAGGTCAATCTCCCTCGAAGTCGACGTCACCTGCTCTTTCGGAGCGTCGCCGGCGCTCTTCAGTATCGAAAATTTACTCACGCACGCTCCCATTTCCGAAGGACTTTAGCTTCTCCCAAGTATGAATTAATTGTGCGAAATTGTTTTTGGTTTCGCCCTCTGTTTTCAAATCCCTGTTTGCGTGAGTTTCTAGAGAGAGAAGACGACTGAGAGATGAGAGAGAGTGAGTTTGAGAGGAACGAGTATTTATAGGGCGGATGCGGGTCCAGCTATGTCTTTTCTGCTCCGACATGCATTCTATAATTGACCCCACCCTCAAATTTTCAACCATTTTTCATGAAAGAAAAAAATTAAAAAGAAATTGAAAATAAATATGCACCATTTCAATTACAAAAATGTAATCCCTCTCTAATATTATATCCATTTTAAAAATATTTAATATTAAACTAATATTATTAACTTCAATGTATATTATATTTTTAACAAAAAATATTTACTTTTTGTTACAGAGTTCAAATGTAATTTTAAAATTTAATGATTTTCCTGCAGTATGTTTTTAAACATTTCAAAATTAATAATGTTTTTATTTTATTTTAATTAAAGCTAATTTCTAGCTAGTGAATCCAATCTTTCTTAAAATAAGCTTAAATTAAATCAGGATATAAGGATTCTGATTTAATAAAAAGATTTGAGAGATATTTCAAATGACTTTATATTCAAGAAATTGGGATTTACTTCCAATAACTCAAATAAAAAAAAAGTGTATTAATTTAAAAAATTAAAAAAGGTGTTGTCAAAGAAACTAGAGCACGTAAGGGAAGCCCCAATTTTATATCACCCAAAAATTATTTTCATACGTTACATATAATTTCGTGGTTGCACGACTTTGCACCAAATTGATCAAGTCTTATTTAATAAAGGAAAATTAAATAAATACATTTTTAATGCCAAAAAATTGTTTTTATTTCTGCAGAAAAGGTAAAAGAAAATGACAGGTAAGCATGTATGAGTGGCCATGTTGTATTTGTTAGAGATTTTGTAACCAATGTCCTTCAATTGTTGTTGGCGCCATGATCAAATTCTTACATATGTCAACTCCTAATTCGAATATTCCATCTTCTATAAATAATATAATTTTGAGGTTTATTTGGAATCATTTGTACAAATGACTGATTCCGAACCAGGGTTATAGAACCGATCGACCCGTGGGTCGGTTAACGGGAAAAAGAGAGAGAAAGAGAAGAGATAAAATCAATTGTTTTCTATAAATGTATTTCTTGCAAGTAACAATGGTCAATGAACATTCTTTGTAGATCATTCTATAAATTAATTTCCCTAAATACAAATCTATGCATTATACATATGACTGTCACACAACTAGTTATCAAATATATTATAGAAGGGGAAGCCACATGAATTTAATTTATTCACTATTAAAATTTAATCATCCTTCACACGCTTTCTCGACGTCGTCGTTGGTCCCTTGAATTGACTGTTTTGCCCTTGCTTCCTCCTTGGTCTTTCCCCATAGCACGAAATAAAGCCCTCCAACCAATAGAAGCGCTCCCAAAATACTAATAGACATTAAAACAAATTACATTTTCATATCTCTAGCTATATATTTATTTAATAAAAAAAAATTATAAAAAAAATACCTTCCGAAAGTAATAATTTCACCAAAGATGAATGCAGAAATGATGATTGTAATAACCATGATTAGTGGAGTGGTCATGGCTAGAAAGACTGGACCCTTCTTCTCAATCACCCATGCTTGTAGGTAAAATGTAATACCAGTCACCACTATTCCCTGCAGTTAATTAATTAATTATTAAAAATATATATTTAATTACTTCGTTAATTAAATAAATAATTAAAGATTATTACACAGTAGGCAACTGAAATAAGCCTGATATTCCATCCAAGTTTCCACTGGGCAGGATTTCTTGCAAATGCTAAAGCTACTATGAATGACTGTACTGTGCTCATTAAGCACTGCATTGTTGTCAACAGCAGCTTCGAAGGATAGCTCTTTAGTACTCGCCCCTAAAAACAAATTCATAAGGTTAATTAGCAACAATTGACTTAAGTTTTGCATTATTCCATTTTATATATCGTTTCAATTTTAATTTACGGATAACGTTTTAACTTTGAACGTGATTTTGATCCTAATTGTAGTCTAACTTTCACAAAGTTCAAAACATGGAAAATATAGTCGTTTGAGTTAGCTTTCTAATTCTGCTTGAATCAGTTAGACTGAATGTCTGGTGATAAACTTTATGCATGGACGAGTTACGTACATTTTGAATCTATATAATATATAAAGGGAGAATACGCAATTGAAGTTTTGACATCTTTAATTTTTATCTCAAATCTTTTCATCTATTTTATTTGTGGACTTCTTTCCTTAATTAGTCTTTATGTCTTTATTACATTTTGTCATATTTATTATTTGACTTATTTCAGAAAAATGATTTCTTTATTACATTTATGTTAATTATAAAATAAATATTATATTGATATTTAATAAGGAAATTTCGAATTTCCTTTGATTTGGCCAATCATATCTTTTATTTTTTCTTACAAATTTGAATATCAGCATTTATGTTAATTGTATAATAAATGGTTATTTCCTTATTTATACATATTTAACTTAATTATGCTACTCAATACAAGTATAAAACCACATTTCCCATCCAACACCAAATCAAAATTGTCCACCCTTTTTTATCTTCATCTTCACCTCACTCCGACGCCAGAAGCAAGAAATGAAAGAAGAAAAAAGTTGGCTGATGATACTTTGTTAGTGTTGTTTTTTCCGTTTTTATTATTATAATTTTTATACAATTTTATTTCAATGATGTTTTATCATTTTTATTTACTTATTTATTTCTATTGCTTTCAAAAGATATTTTAGATTACCATTCTATTTTATTTCAATTTTTTTAATATATCCATTCAAATCTTTATACATTTTTTTAATAAGTTTGATTGATTCTTTTTGCATATTATGTTCTTTTAGTTTTGGTTTTATTTTCATATTTTAAACAACTCCTAATGTTAATGCTATTTATTTTCATATAATTTTATTTCAATAATTTTGTAGCATTTTTTTATTGTTTTCCATTATTTTTAATATAAAATCCGATTCACTATTCATTTTAATTTCTATTTTTTAATAATTTCATTCAAAAGTTTGTTCAAATGTTTAACGACTTTGAATCATATTTATATATTTATATAAAATTGGAAATCCATTCTTTATTTTTTTTTTATTTTTTTTTCTAAATATTTCACGATTTTATGGTATTCATGTATATTTTAAATAGTAGCAAAAAGTAGACTAATATACCGTATTTTAAACCAGATTTATTTTCTTGGTGATTTCTTTCCTCGGTTACTGTTTATATCAATGGATTTCACAATGATTTGTTTAAAAAAAGTATTTTACCTGTTTTTCAATATTTTCATGAAATTAGATATTAAAATTCAAAAACAATGATATTAATAATTTATTTGATTAATTGTCTTACCTATTTTGCACACCCTTCACACATATAAAACCTCCTTTTATATATATTTTCTACTAATTGATTTTCATCAATATTCGTTGAAACAATCTACATACTAAAAATTGAAACTGAAATTGCAATTGATTTTCATACATCCAGAAATGGAAATTTCTCGAAAAGGATAATTCTAATGCATTCGATCCGACTTTCACCTCTGAATGTGACAATCAATTACATATCTACATATTTATAATTAATCATTTATTCATAACAAATAATAAATAAATTATTTATTTATTAATTTGTTCCAATTGAAATATTCAAAATAGTTTACCCATTGCTTAATTTGGATACAACCACCATTCAGCTTAGGTTAATCTTTAATATTTTATTTTGAGTTTTCTAAACGGATAAATACATATAAAACAAATAACTACGTTGTTTATTTATTTATTTCAATTGAATTATTCAAATTTAAGTCTAAATTTTTTTTTTGAGTAAAAATTTAAGTCTAATTAAGACTTACTTTGGATTTACTTACTAGAAAACCACCAATCAAATGTGGTCAATATTTAACATATAAGTTTGTTTATAAAAATATAAATTATGCACTCTATGTTTCATTCATTCAATGACAATCCCATTAATTACGCATTTTCAATTTAAACTGATTTGTTCCTTTTTTATTTTATACACATACAATGTATCCTCAAATACCTTTATCTCATATATTTTTCTTTGACATCCTAATAGGTATTGTTGCAATATAATTTCAATTATCTAATGAATTATCCAAATATACAAGTTGCGACATGTTTTTTTTTTCTTTTTTACTTTTTTCCGCTAAACCATAAACAATAATACAATATTTAAAAATTGGGTGAACAAATAAATTTACTTTTTAATTGTGTTTAGTGAACTATATGTAGTACTATTTTAATTGTTTTGATAAACCTAATTTCACTTAAATTGGGATAAGTAGTTTTAGAATATTATTTTTCTTATTGCAACTAGATAGAAAAGTAAAAATTTGGTAACATTTTTAATTATTGTTTGGTGAATTATATATGTGTGTTGTACTATTTTCATTGTCTTGACAAAATCTAAAACTTATTTAAATAAGGATAAATAATTTTTTAAATATTTATACTGTTCGCATTACTAGAAACAACATTTAAGAAAATGGTAAACGATATTTTATAATGGGAAAATAATATTTTTTATTGTAAGTTATAGTTCGATGAATTTTGTGTTTTTAATTATTTTAGTTGCCTCAACTAAAATAAACCGATTCAAATTTTGGAAAATAATTTTCGAAATACCTATATTGTTACCACAACTAGATAAAATATTTTTAAAAATGATTAAATGACATTTCATACTGGAAAAGTAATAATTGTTTATTTATTTCATAGTGAAATAATTATTTTAAAATTTTAGGTTATTGTTCGGTGAATTATGTGCATTGAACGATATTAATTTCTCTGAATAACATAAAACCACAAATGTATAAATTACATTTAAAGTATCTATTTTGTTATTATCACTGGACAAATAATTTAAAAAATGGATAAACGAAAATTTACAATAAGTAATTGTTTAGTGAATTAGACGTGTTCAACGATTTTAGTTATTTATAATGGAAATGAATTATAAAGTAAACATGTCATCAATTCATTTTCCATATATTACTTCATAGAGATATGTTTTAACTGGAGTAAACGAATTTTTTGTACTCCTAATTATTTTTTGTGCACTATTAAAAGGAAATATTAATTAATTATGGAATAAATATCTGATTTTATTTAATGTTACGATTAATATTAATATTAGTATACACATGAGTATTAAGATTATCATTAGCATTACCATTAGTATCAGGGCCGGCTCAAGCCCATATGGGGCCCTAGGCGAAATAATAAATTTGGGGCCCTTTACATATTTTTAATATAAAATTAAATATTTTGAATATTTTTATTTTAGTTTAAATACACGTATTAAAATTATTAATTCGTATATTACATTTTATATAAAATTCAAGCTATATATGTTAATTTTTTAAAATAAGAAAATATAAATTCTATTTCGTAATAGGGGGCCCTAATTATGTAGTAAACATAATTTTTGGGGCCCTAACTATAATACTGAAAAGTTGGGGGCCCTAGGCATAGGCCAAAGTTGCATATAGCCTAGGGTCGTGGCCTGATTAGTATTAACATTAGCATTAGCATTAGCATCAACATCAATATTATCATCAACATTAGCATTATCATTAGTATTAGCATTACCATTTTAGAATTAGTATTAGGATTATGATTATGATAAGGATTAGAATTAGTGTTAATATTAGGATTATATTTAGTCTTAGGATTAAGATTAGTTTCGTATTAGCATTAGCATTAAGATTGGTATTAACATTAGTATTATAATTAGAAGTAGCATTAATATTAATAATGATATTAGAATTCGCATTAATATATTAGGATTAGCATTAATATATTAGGATTAGTATATTAGTATTAGTTTAGTATTAGTATTAGTATTAGTTTTAATATGACTATAGTATTAATATTAGTATTAGTATTAATATTAGTATTAGTATTAACAGGGCCGGTTTTGGGAGAGGCGAAGTAGGCGGTCGCCTAGGGCCCCCGGATTTTTAAGAAAATTTAGGCCCCCCAAATTATGTTACATACACTTTATATATGAATACTTATTTTTTAAAATTTATTATATATAATATTTTGGAACATCAATTCTAAAATAAATTTAATATAAATGATCAATAGATGTCTTAATTATTTATTATTATACCTAAAATAAGAATCATTATTCATTTGTCTATTTAAGTTTTATAAATATTTATGAAGTTTATTTTCTATAAAGATTATACGTCACGGGAGGAAGTGAACCAGCAAATCATCCTGTTAATTTTGATTTTTTTTTTCCATATTTAAAGTTATTTTATGTTCATACATCAGAAAATGTTTCGGGGGCACTACCCTTGAACCCCCGTAATCTTTATTTCATCATTTTTAAAAAATATTATTTATATGTTTTTAGTATATTTAATTTTGAACACCCTTTAATAAAATTGATTTGTCAGATAGGGACCCCGGTTTTAAGTTGTTTTTTAAATCTCGCCTAGGGCCCCTAAATTCTCAGGAACGGCCATGAGTAATAACATTAGTATTAGTATTAGTAAGTATTAACATTAGTATTAGTATTTGTATTAGTAAGTATTATGATTATTTCTACTAGGATTTGGATTGGATTACGATTATGATTATTATTATGATTAGGATTAGGATTATGATTATTATTATTAGAATTAACACTGACGTTAAAATTATAATTAGAATTAGCATTAGCATTAGCATTTGAATTAACATTATGATTATACGTAAGATTAGGATTACGATTAATATTAGCACTAGCATTAGAACTAGGATTAGTAGCATTAGTTTAGGACTAACATTAGTACTAGCAATAGGCAGTAGAACTAGAATTACGATTATCATTAGCATTAGTATATTATGATTAGCATTAGCATTAGCATATACATATTAGCATTATTATTAGCATATTAGTATGAATATTAGTATTGCGATATATTAGCATTTTGATTATTAATATTACTAGCATTATAATTAGAATTATGATTAGAATTAGGATTAACATTACCATTACCATTAGCATTAGTATATTAAGACCCCGTTTGGTTGCCAAGATAAGCCATGATTAACTAAATAGTTGGACTTAGTTTGATGTTTGGTATCCTCAATAAATTGCCGGGTCGACCCGCCAAAATTATATAATCATGGCTTATCTAGCCTTCTAATGAATTTTTGTTTGTTGGACGTTTCAAGCTCCAATAAAATAATTGGGTCTCATTAGATTATTTAATCTTATCTTGACTAATCTTCTCTTGCCAACCAAACGGGGCCTAAGAATAATATTAAAATTAGTGTTAGCAATAGCATATTTGCATTTCTATAAGAATTAGAATTATGCTTCGTATTATTATTAGGATTAGGATTATAATTATAATTAGAATTAGTATTAGAATTAAGATTAACATTAATTTTAGTATTAGGATTATGATTATAATTTTGATTAGAATAATGATCGGGTGTAGTACGTACTAGGATTAGGATTATGGTTAGGATTAGCGTTAACGTTATGATTAAGATTAGCATTAGGATTACTAATAGTAATAGTATTATTATCAGATTAGTATTAGTATTACTATTAGTATTAGTATTAGCAATGGTAGGTAATGATAATGATAATGGTGACGGTAGTTGTAATGGTAATGATTGGTATTGGTATGAGTATCAGTATTTGTATCGGTATCTATATCAATATTGGTATCGTAATGATAATAGCAATGATAATGGTAATGGTAATAGTAACGGTAATGGTGTTGGTATTGGTGTTGGTATTGGTAATGGTAATAGTAATGGTAACGGTAATAGTAATGATGTACTCGCCATTTGTATACGGAAATTAAACCTTCGATATTTAGTTTTTTTCACTTATTTTGAATTTGTTATTTACATGAAATAAATTTTTTTAAACTTTGTATTGCACATTGATCTTACTATTCCGAGAACTTTTTAAAATTAAATATTTATTTTTATAATGAATTTCCCGTGCAACGCACGGGTGAAGTACTAGTTGTATGTAACTTATCAAAACATCAAAGTTATGGGCACATTAATTCATGCATATCTTTCTCAGACGATATCCAATCTTGCTGATTTAATTTAGATTGGAAAGCTAAATTAAAGATCTACAAAATCCGTGTTTTGAGTTTGGCCAAATTCAACCTTTTTAAATTAAATTTTATTAATTAATTATTACTTATTTCTGTATTTTTTTTTTTGTGATATAAAAAATCAGGGAAGCTGCCCCACGAGCCCCCAGAATTTGTAAACTTTGGTATATTATTTAAAAAAAAAAACGTTATGCCAACATTATTGTGGTAAAGGTCGTAATTAATTATCAATGTAAGTGAAATAACTAGCTAGGTATAAGCTAAGATTAATATATAAAGAGATGAAAATATATGAATTAATTAATTACCTGTAAAACAAGCCACAATGCCCAAGTAATGTTGGAAAGCAGCATGAGAAAGACACCCTTAATCCAGGTTTTGGTATCAGGGATTTGGTGCTGGATTAATAATTGCTGATCTGATAAGTGATTAATGTTAATCAAGTGATGGTGCATTAGTATTTGCAATAAAGGGCCTCTGTAAAAAGCAATTGTTGCCACTCCTCCTATGCAAAGGACCACTCCTGCAATTTTCATAATTCCTGGACTTGTCTTTATATTCACCTTCTCCATCCTGTATGTACTTGCAGTAATTAATTTAATTCGTTTCAATTATGAATTAGTCAACCACACCCTATTTTAATTACATAATATATATTACAACTTAATTCAGGGAAAAAATAAAATTGACTAGGGACTTCTTATTCCTTAATTAGAGGAAGTTAAACAGCTGATTATTTAACTTAATTATTACCAGACAAACATATAACATATATGGTCAGAAGTCAGAACTAACTTCAAATACTTTATTAAGACTGATATATAAATCATAAGATTCTGCTTAAAAGAAAGAGAATATTATATACCTAGCATCACATGCAGATTTTATGACATATATATATTAAATAAAGAAAAACTTTGGATTAAATAAAATAAAATAAAAAATAATATTTGTTTAATTAATTACCTGAATAAAACAGCAAGAAAGAAAGTGATAACAGGAAGAGTATTGGAAGTTGCAGCTCCCAAAGAAGCACTACTGTACTTCAAAGCCACACCAACAACATCTAAGCTCATCGTTATTCTGCCAAATATAACAAATTTAAAAAAAAAAACCCGAAATTTCGATTAATTATAATATATTATGTTCTTCTGCTTAAAGAAATTAAAATAAGAAAATATTTTAACTTATATACCCAAATAGAGAGAGCATAAAAATCTTGACGAAAATTGACAAGGAAAGTGGTGGAGCTGCTGCTGTTTTCCTGCGTATATATATATATAATTCATCAACGAGAAAAATGGAGAGTGAACAATAATTATAAATACATGCAAGTACACACAGTATAACACACACGTACACACATATATATATGTACGTACCTAATTAGGAAGAAGAAGGAAATGGGGGCCAAGAAAAGAGTGGCAGCAGCTTGTCTGTAGAAAACGAAGACGAAAGTATTCATTCCGACATCGAAAGCGAGCTTAGTAAGCACGAAATATCCAGCATATATTGATTGTATCACTACAACTGCCATCAATGCCTTGTTTTCCTCCATTTTTTTTTTTTATTAATTTGCACTTTAATTAGTTTTTATTGGTACTCATAAAACCTTGTAAGATTTAGTTGGTATATATAGAAAGAAGTTCACAACTGAAAAACTGTGAAAGCTACGCACGTATACCCCCTCTCTCTCTCTCTCTCTCTCAGACACACACACGTCATTGTAGAGAGAGAGAGAGAGAGAGAGAGAGAGAGAGAGAGAGAGAGAGAGAGAGAGAGAGAGAGAGATCTAGAGAGAGAGAGTATTATAAAGGTTTTGTATATGTTTATCAAAAAGAAAAAAGTTAGGGCGGGCCTACTTAATAAAGATCATAAAGGTGGTTGAGTTTAGGGCTGCACTACTGCATGAGGGTAACTGTATTAAATATTATTATATAAATTATGTAGACGATTTCTTTTTGGGGTTTCATCAATTAGGTCATTGATCATGATTAGCAATTTAATTCATGTTGCTTATTAATTTTTTATTTTTTTATTTATTTATGTAATTGCTTAACTATTCAAATAAAGCAAGAGTCCCAAATTACTGTATATGTGGCTACATTAACGGCTTTTAACAGGCCATCGTCCATTACAAAAAAGGTTAACTAAAATTAGTCTTGTCTTTTCCTTTTGCTTTATGCATTATCATTAATCTAATCACGCATTTTGTCTTGCTTAATTAACTAGTTGATATATCATAGGCTAATAGTAATTGGTGGTTAAATGACCAAACAATATAACAATTAATTAAATTAATAATTTAATGACATTAATTGAATGCAGCTAAATAGATTCTATTCTAAGTTTATAAATCGGTGCAATTAACTTACTCATTAGCAATTCTTATTATAATTTTTGAACCACATTTTGCGTTCAAAACATGGTCTTATAAATCAATTTCTAACAACTCTATACTTTATGTTATTTTATGAAAAGATTTATTATACTCATTGTCATTTATTATTATTTAATGTTTTTCAACACAACTTTACATTATTCAATAATATATTCTATGCCTCTTTTTAATTATTTTGATTCCAAGGCACGGTATCTTATGCCAAATACTATTTATTTTCTGCAGTAATTAAGTTCCTACTTATTTTATTTTATGCATATTTTTTCAATAATAAAGGAAACCGCAACCAATCATATAAATGTATATATTGAATAAATCTACACTTCCGTATAATGTTTACACAATTTATATGCACGTACATTTAATTGTGCGCCGATTTATAATGAACAATATAATACACGTACGTTGTATTTCACCATGCACCCAGCCTAGCATGTAATAAAATTGTGAATGATTTGAAAAAAGTAAAGAATAAAACCAATTCTTGATCCCCACCTTCTTTGTGCTTAACTACTTTTTACACCCATCTTTAAGCACTTATTGGCTGCTTTAATACTCCATTAATTAATCTTATAAAGAAGTGACAGGTCATGATGTGTCAAAATAATATTTTGAAGATTAATTGTCCAGTCTAAACCATGTCACGTTATGAAATAATTGGACTGATTCTTTGTTAGTAACCGGTCCAATTTCATAATGTGGCATGTAGCTAGGGTTACAATTCAAACCAAACGAGTTCTTGAACTGATTATTTCTTTTAAAACGTCAAATTAGTTCTTGAACTTTGTTTGATATTTGGTATTCCCAATAACTTATCGGGTCGACCCGAAAATATTATGTAATTATCACAGTTTATATTGTCTTTTACGAAGATTTTAATATATCATACAATGGAGTCAATTATTTACTTTTATATCGGCTAATCTTATCTTAACTTGACAACCAAACGAGATTTATATAATTGTTCATATATTAATATAATCGATCTGTGGTCCAGTTGCACATGTATATTGTAAAGAATTCTACACGTGATATGTACACAAAAATACATGCATGTAATGAAACATGTGCCATATTATATAATCACAGTTGTACGTAAAACACATTAGATATATCGACTAATTAACCACATATGGAAATTAGGATAAGGTTTTTTTTCTTTCTTTTTAATTTCCACCGTCTAAAATAAAAAGGACATGCAAAAAGAAATCATATGATTATTTTCATGGAAAAAGAAACCATATATCCACTTTTGCCATGCAGTCCGAAATTGGAAAGCTACGTGACAACTTTTTTGGAGTCGTGATAACTTAATCCCATCCTGCCCAATCCATGCATGAGTCGTTCCTTCATCATATATATCCCAATCTAGCTAATGAATATCCATAGAAGATTCATAAACAAAAGAAAAATGGTAAAGTATTATATGATTTAGACTGTTAATTTGTCGTCTCTTAAGAATTTATTATATATCCATTTCATAATTAATTTATGCATGCGAGTTTATGATGAAATTAAACGATAGATCTATTTGAGTCTCGGATATCCTCACAAAGTCCCGAAAACCGTAAACTTTTAGTCCACTATATTTACTAAACAAAACTTATATATTTTTTTTATACGCAATTTCAAAAACCCTTTGATAAATCACTGGATTCGTCACTATGGATAATTATTGCCCTTTCGATGAATGTTAGAAACTTTAAATTGGAAAAGAAAACATACACAGTAGAATCTCGATAAATTAATAGCCTTTGATTAAAATAATAATTTCTCTCCATCCCACCTTGGTATAAACGTCATAAATTATTAGTTCGATAACTTAATATTTTGTTAAATGAACAGAATTTTGCTAATCACGACTGTATTAACTTATAGATGTAATTTAAATGTATATGTTTCCATCGGCGTGTGTTACAAAAGTATATATATCTAAAGTTAAAAGTCAATAATTAGCGGAAAGTGGTGAGCTAAAGTTTTGAGGATGATGTACGTAGGAATGTTTAATTTGGGCTTGAATTCTTTAACAAATGTGGTCAATCTTTGCTATAAGGACTTTTTTCCATACCGAATAAACACTCTTATTGGGAGAAGAATTGATTATTGTTGCTAACTTTTGGGCTTTCTTCGCCTATTATATATTGTGCTTTTAAGCTCTAAACTTTTGACAATAACTTAAAAGTTAAAGGCATGTGCTTACACCTAAAAAGTTGATCAAATTTGAGGATATGCAAGAGAAAGTCCCATGGAAGTTAACTTCATCAAGAATTTCGAACGCCGTATCCGCAAGGTGGTCTAGCTGGTGGAATAGAAGGGTGCATCGTCTAATTATAAATACATGAATGCACAATCTTGCTTTTAAAGTTGTATATATAATATCTATATAGATAGAATAATTTGAATTTAACTCTAAAGTTTGATCAACATGACTAGCCTCTACTTTAGACACTTTACTAGGTTTAGGGTTATTAATTAGGGTCTCTTAAAAATTGATTAAACTACTAATTAACTTCAAAATAAAGAGAAAATTAAAGCAAATTGACAATTTTGTAAGCAAAGAAGACCACTTTTAAACCCTTTAATTATTGTTGCCTAATCATACTACCATTTGATGGTACATTAAAAACAAGGAAAAAAAAGGTGAATATATATAGTAATTTACTTTAATGAACATATTATAGTATCCATATCTCCCAATTAAAGCATGACGCACCCAATTTGATGAATAATTATAACGAATAGGTGTCAGATAAAGGTGACCTAGTTAGTGGAGCCTGAGATGAGTTTTCTTAGCCGAGCGTATCGTCACAAGGCTTATACCCTCTTGTAATTTTTTTTTATCTCTAATGATTTGAAAGCTATATAAGCAAAAATGTAAATTTAATCGGTACACATATATAATTAGATGCTGATTTTTTTTTTTTTTTTTTTTTTTAATATCATGAATTGATTGCAAGATTTATAAGATTAAAGTTCCATGTTAGAAATTAAAATTAACGTAGATAGTCTTAATACTTTTTCGTTGGTCTAGAATTTGTTTTTATTTTCCCATAAGAATTTCTACAATTTAGAATTCTTTAATTCTTAAATATAAATAGATATTATTATATTTAATTTATGCTATTGGGTATAAGACTTGGGCTGACTGGACACAATGGAGAAAGATGGGCTTCCTAATTGTAACTTGTATGAACTTAGAAGCCCAATAGAGCAGATATTCATAATATATTGTAAAATAACCCCAAAATATTATGAATATTGAAACAAAAACCCCTTGAAATATTTTCAATTCTTTAATAGCCTATTTTTCACTAATAAAAAATTATCCAACCCAAAATTAAAGAAAAGGAAAAACAAACATTTATTCCACAACATGCCCTTGCAGGCTTGATTATTGTTTTATGAAAAATTATGGTGGCATGTAATTATTGCGGAACTTCATACCCTTTTTTGTCCATTTGAATTAAGAAAGGAATAAACATCGAGATTACCAGATCTCATTCTTCTTCACATCCTTTGAAAAATCCAGAGATGAATACCTTCAATACGACGCCGTTTCAGCTTGCTATACGAAGAACAACCCTAGATCCGCTGATGTCATAACCACCCCAGTTTTTTCATTTCTCATCTTTCCAAAAAAATTTTTTTTTTTTTTTTTTGCCAAAAAAAGGGAGGAAAAATAAAGCATGGATCCGGAAGAATTTAGGGCAATTTTATCGAGGTCGAGAGCTGGAATCTGGTCGCTAATCGAGACGGCGATTAAAGTCGCCAGCTCAGACTACGGCGACGAATTGCGCCGCCGCCGCGATAAAATCGTCGAGTCGCTCTACGCGCCGCCTTCTCAGCTCTGCGACAGCTGCAACGGCAACGGCAACGCCAGTGCCAACCAAGACGTCGATGTTGTTCAAGACGAACCCTATTATCCGCAAAATGTTGATAACAGTAACTTCAATTATAGTGATAACATTGATAATGATAACCACGGTAACAGTAATAGTAATAGCAATACGAAGAAGAAGAAGCTTAACAGCAATAGTAACATCAGAAATTCGAACGAGAATTTCAGTCAGAGCCCGTTGACTCCGGAGTCAAACCACCGGAATTTTGGCGCCGGAGAAGAGGAAGAGGATCCGTACGGAGGATTGTTTGACGACGAACAGACCAAAATTATCACCATCAAAGAGCAGCTTGAAGATCCAGACCAGGTTTACTTTCAATTTTCACACCTCTTTTTTTTTTTTTTTTTTTTTTTTTTTTTTTCATTTTCGCCTTCAATTCTGCTGGTTGAGAGAATATTCGTTTATTACCATTTTGTTTTAAAAAAAAAAGATGTATACTTTGGTTCAGAGTGAAGATGCCGTGGTGGAATTGCTCCAAAACCTAGCAGATATGGATATCACGTTTCAAGCTCTGAAGGTGGTGAAATTAATCATCTAGTTGAAAGAAAGAAAACAAATATTAACAATTTCAGTTCTGACTTCTGAAGCATTAAATTTATAAATGATTTGTGTTTGTTTGGTAGGAAACTGATATAGGAAGGCATGTAAATCGGTTAAGGAAGTATCCATCAAATGAAGTTCGCGGATTGGTGAAGCAGCTCGTTAGGTTTGAAGCTTTTCGATAAATAAATAATTTTCGTATTGAAATATATTTTCGATATTTGATCAATTTATTTTGTTGTGGAAGTGCAGAAAATGGAAGGAAACTGTGGACGATTGGGTGAAGGTGAACCAACCACAAGCAGCTTCAAACCTCATTGGTAATGTATCTATTTTGTTCCTCCAAAATTAGAAACTGCTCTCTCATTGGTCATTACTAATGGTTGGTAGGTTCGGTTTCGGTTTTACCTAAAGTAGTATATGTGAATAAGAATTAATAATTTCAAATTAAGTATGTGTTAATTTAATTCTGGTGTTTGCAGCTGACGGGGACTCACCTCAGCAGAGCATACCGAAAAATCAACAAAATGGCCATCACCAGGTGAATTGAAAGTTGTTCCACTCAGTTTACATTTTCAAGAAACAAGAAACATGACAAAGAAAAAAAGATCAGAAGACCGAAAGAATAAGAGAACAAATTTCGCACTTGAACATTGTTGTTCGAATTTTGAACTTTTGATTTTTGCAGGTTCCAGATTTTGGGTACTCACCAAATCCACATAGTGAGTGTTGAATCAGATATTGAATTCGCAAATGTTCGTCTTTTTAGATTAACATTTCAACTCCCTCTCTCACAGATGGGAGTTCCAGTGTAGAAAGAAATTACGGAGAATACGACACAAAGCCTACAAAGCCCACAAATCCAAAACCATCGCAAACTGCAGCTCGAAGAGAAGCTCCTTCTAGACCACAACAGCCAATTCCTAAATCTGCTTCTGCTCCTCCAAATGTACTCAATTCCTATCTATATATATATATATATATATATATATTTATATATATATATATATTTGAACAAGTTTATATGATGCATGTGTTTCAATATGGGTTATGCTTGTTATAATCGAAATTTCTCCCTTCTTGGTGTATTAGCACTATATATATTAATATAACGGCCTTAGCTAAATCATGCATGTGATCAAACAGTTGTTGCAAGGAGTTTAAAAGATTTAGTTCAATCCGACTGGTTACGTTTTTAATTACTATAAACGGGTTTGTTTTTTGCAGAGAGCACAAAGGGAATTGGTCGTAGACGATGAGAGACTGAATTCAGCAAGAAGGCGGCTTCAAGAAAACTACCAAGAAGCTGAGAATGGTTTGTTTCTCGACTTTGAAATCTGCTGTACTTTAGTTTGTGTACTGAATTGAATTTGTTGGAAATGTGAAGCGAAAAGGCAAAGGACAGTTCAGGTGATGGATATAAAAGAGATTCCGAGACCAAAGAATGGATTCTTTGCCAAGAACAAAGGCGGCTCTCAGGGGAGGCACCATCGGTGATTTATAGTTTCCGTTAACACATAATTTAATGCAAATTTGTTTACGTAAAAAGGGGTTTTCCAAGAAAAATAAAAAATAAAAATAAAAAAAGAAAAAGTTGGTTAGGGCCCTCTTACATTTTGTCGTAAGCATAAGTTGTAGAGTAGACCTAAGTTAATATGTTGTTTAAATTGTTATCTTGCAGATTAAGATGCTGCTAATGCGTCTAATCTTACTGATACATAAGGGCATTTATGACTTGATGGATGAATTGAGATTGGGCAAATCTAGTAATTATTGTAATTATTTGTCCGGTTTACATATATCGGGTAAAGTATGCTATATATGGTATATTCTACGATTTCAAATTATTCGTTTTAGTAAGATAAATGAATTTGTTCCATATCTATTACGATGATGTATTAGATTTTTTTTCTTACAATATTATACTCTCTTCGTTCTATACTAAATGTCGTTTAAGATTAATACATACTAATTAAAAAAAAATTAAATACTCTTAATTTGGGTGAAACTTCTTATTTGATAAATTTACCCATTTGTGACTTTTCATTTTCATTCTATAATTTAAATATTGTTAGGGTAAAATTGGACAAAGAAGTATTGATGCACAAACGATCATCTCTCTTGCATTTCAGATTCATCCAAATTTTGCTTCGACTTCACGTGACTTCCGGTTAATAATGCAGTTTTTGTTGATACTGAGATTGTAAAATGACTTGTCTGAACCATGTCCATGGTCCATGAGAATAATTTGTTGAAGGATGATTACGATCGCCATTTTTCACAACCAATCGCCGTAAACCATTTGTTCGGTTCTTTTTGGTCCGAAATCACATTTCTTATCTCAATCTTTCATCTATTTGCATCAACCCAGCTGGCTCTCGTTAACAGGCCCGGGCTACGAATTCTTGTTTTTTTATACGAAAAAGTAGTTTTTTTTTTTTTTTTTTTTTTTTTTTTTTTTTTTTTTTATCTCAAAATTTGGATTTGAGATCTTCAGTGTCGATAATTTGTTACTTTATTTGTAACTTTATTGAAGCTCATTATGTACTTATTGATTTTTAATCTATAGACATTGATCGAGTCTGCTTCGTCTGCTTGATGACGTCAGGACGATCTCCCTACGTCAGTTTCCAGCTGATCTGGCTGGATTCGTGGTGGGTTGGTTTAGAAAGTTGAGTAGGCCTGAACTTGGACCGGAGCCCACGATAAACCTACAAGAAAGAAAAGAACCGGACTTAGGCCGGAGTTAGCATTCCGACGGCCAAGTCAGTAACTTCCTGAAGAAGATATTATGCTTCTGTATGTAATTGATGTATATGATTTCGTTGTGGTTTTCCTGTATTAACTGCCCCTATTTATACTAAAAAAGGGGACGGACGTCAAATATTCTTCAATTTAATTTACCTGTCCAATCGCGGTAATTTAGGCATTCGGACCCCAAATTACCTTCAATGCAGTTTAATATGTCATTTCATTGGCGGCTGCGGGGACAAAAAGTAGGGGCCGAAGAGACATTCCTCTGCGCTTGTCAGTGGATTGGACGTGCATTAAATACCCCCATGTGCAGCAATGATCATCTCCGGTCGGGCGCGAGCAGCTTGGCGAGAGACGCGAAGCTGCTAGGCGAGAGTGTGAGGCAGCGAGAGGACTCTCGCTCGCGGCTACTCGCGATCCGTGGCCTAGTTCCTCTCGCCCAACCAGTACCAGTTTGATGGGCCCTCTTCTGTTAATGGGCTTAAACGGTGCCTTTTGACCTCGTTTGGGCCTTTGGTCCTTATTGGATCCATCAAGCGATCCCGGGCTGGATCAACTAGTCCCCCACTCGCGGTTACTTGCGACCTGGCGCTAGTGGCTGCGAGTTCGCTCTTAGCGAGAGAAAGCGTGCGCTCCATTCCGGCGACCCGCCTCTTAATGTAATCATTTGCACCGTTTCAAATAACGTGCCTCGTTTCATATTCCGTAGCAGAAAAACCGTGCACATTCCGAGTAATTAAATAACTGAATTTATTAATCTATTTAATTAAAACCGTTCATCCCCTTTTTTTTTTTTCTTTTTTTTTTTTTTGAAATTCGAAGCGCCGCCTGCGCTGTCCTCTCACCATTAATGCGGCGCAGGCGGGTCTCTTCAAATCCCGCACCATGACTATAAAAAGGGGGGCCTCCCCATTCCTCCCCTTTCACTCCTCCTCCTTCAGCCTTTCTTTCTCCTCTCCCTTCTCCGGCGTGAGAAAATTGCTTTTCCCTTCCTCCGGCTCCTCCCTTTCATTCAGGTAAATACTTTTCTATCTTTCTTTTGTGCTTCTCCATTTCTCTCTTTAGTTTTATTTTTGTTCCACCTCCTTCGTTTCTACTCCATGTCCTCCGAGTCTTCTTCCTCTTCCTCCGGGGACATTCGTACCCCTGTAATTCGCCTCGGACCTCCGTCGGAACAGATGAATAGGCCCAAGAAGAGGGCCGTTGTTTCCAAGGCCCGAGGCCCACCGGCCACCTCTGCTCGCCAGAAGAAGGAGAAAGGCAAAGCCCCCTCCCTCTCGCGACATAAAGGGGGGGACGATGCGACCTCCCCATCTGGCGGAGAGAAAGGGGTCATCCGGGTTCCAAAAGTGAGGGAACCTTCCGTTTGCATTTTGACCAACCCCCAGCATTCGATTCCGACTCCCGACGATATTGGCGACCTACTCCTTCGTCAAGGGATAGACATTTCCTACGACTTAGCTCTTCCTTCCCCCTCGCAAGACTCCCTTCACCCTCCTCCTGGCTATATGACCTGGCATATAGACCAATTGTTCTCGGGCTTATCGCTGCCCGTTCACCCCTTTTTCTTAGATGTGGCACGCAAATTTCGCGTGCCCATCAACCAATTTCTTCCTAATTCTATCAAATTTATGTCAGCCTTTTTTATTATCTGCGCCGAGGCCTCCATAACTCCCTCCGGCGAGCTGTTCCATTCTACCTTCAAGGTGAACCGATCTCCTTCTGGCTTTTTTCACCTTACAGCTCGCCCTGGCGTAGGTCTTTTTAAGGGTTTGACTAACAAAGTACATAATTGGCCCAAGCGTTTTTTGTTTATTCGTTCGCCCACTTCTTGGGGCTTTGATCCGTCGTATGTTGAGACCGCCCCTCGCCCTGTTGGGGTGTCTCCCGACTGCTTGGAGGTACTCTCTCGGCTGACTGCTCGCACTCCCCCCCAATTGTGGGATGTTGAAAAGATAGTAGGTAGCCCCTCTCTTTTTGCCCGTGCTGGACTGTGGGATATGTCCTCGTCTGATCCTCGTCCGCTAGGTACTTATCTAGGGATAACTTCCATATTTCGTTATTATTTTTGATTTATTTCATCACTAAATATTGTTAATCATTGTTGCCTGTTTGCCAACAGGTGAGATGATTCGAGAAGCTATGAAAGCGGCTCTTGCCAAGCAGCGCGCCCAGTCCTCCCGCACCCCCTCTGAGTCCACGAGCCATGCCCCTCCGGATTCCACACCCTCTCCTAAAGCGGCCACTAGCGCGGCGACGGGGTCAGGCTCTCGCCCGGAGTCACGGCGAGAGACCCACACTGTTTCTCCCCCATTCGTTGTTTGGCAACCCGTTATCGATATCGGTAGCGAAAATGCCGATAACCAAGAGGCCCATGATTCCTTTCGCTCGCTGGAGCAGGTGCCCTACGACGTCGGCCGCCATAAGCGAGACGCCAGTGGAGAACATACTTCTACGATGTCCAAGCGACATCGTGCAGCTGACAAGAGCTTCCTTTCGTCCCTTTCGCCTGACCGCAGTCTTGATGAGCTATCCCAAACACTTCAACCAGCTGAAGCTTGTGGAGGATGCGCAGGCGCTCGAGCGTATGTCCCACGAGCAGCAATATTCCCGCCTGCTACTCCATTGCTCCCAGGTAAGTGCAATTTTATCTTCATCTCGCCAATTTTATCTTCATCTCGCAGCTAGCATATTTATATTTACGACTTGCTCATATACTGCTTCAGATCAATGTCCTTCTCGCTCATGGTCTTGGCTCGACAGACCCTACTCGCCAAGCCGAAGAGCTTGCCTTCATGAAAAGGTTAGCTAGCGAGAAAGCCAATGAGGTCACCCGCCTGCAAGACATGGTCCGCGAGTTGGCCAACGAGAAAGATGAGACTGCTCGCCTAGGTAACGAGAAGTATAATGCGATGAAGTCCTCTCTTGAGAGCAAGGCCGCTCGCCTTCATGCCGAAAAGGAGCAGTTGATCGCTATTTCACGGCAGAAACAGGAGGTGGTGGAGGCGGAGTGCATGAGGACTGTCGCACTGGAGCGTGTGAGGAGCTTGTACGACCATTTGTGCTCGATAGATGGGCAAGACTTCCTGCGAGCGTATCGCGAGGGCCTGACCCGCAAATATCCTTCGTCCGCACATTTTGCTAATGCCGCGGCACCAATAGGTATGGGCTTCATGGACCGGGGCATCCGTATGTATGCGGCCCGTCATAATCTTGATGACCCCTCGGAGGAGATAAGTGCCATCCTTGACTTGCTGGGTGATGAGATCCCCGGCTGGGAGGGAAATCCTACTGAACCTGTGGATTACGCCTGGTGGGCTGGGGTGCTCGAGGGAATGCTCGCAGAGCTGAACAAGTACGCCGCACAAGCCCCCTCTAATATGGCTCGCCTGGACCCTACATGTTCTGCCTCTACTCTTCCTGATATCCCTCCTTCCTGAGGCCTTTGTATTTTTCTCTTTATTCGCAGCAACCTTGAACAATTCGTTTTTTTCCTTTCTGAACAATGTTAATTTTCATTTGGATATTTTTATTATCTATCGTTTTGAGTTTATTCTGTTACATTCTTATTTTTACATCTCATGCTTTTGAATTCTATTATGACTTCTTTCATTCGCGCACTTCGTTTCGTACTTTCGAGAGGGTTCTGCTCGACGCATATTCCAATAATTTCTTTGTTTCTCGTTTTCTAGCAAGATTCGCTCTATGCAAATGCTTGCTCGCGAACTTCGTATTGGAAATATTCCAAATATTTTATGTTTCTCGTTTTCTAGCGAGATTTGCTCGATGCAAATCCTTGCTCGCACACTTCGTATTGGAAATATTCCAATAATTTCTAACTTTCTTTCTCGCTTTCTAGCGAGATTTGCTCGATGCAAATCCTTGCTCGCACACTTCGCATTGGAAATATTCCAATAATTTCTAACTTTCTTTCTCTCTTTCTAGCGAGATGCTCGCCAATTTCGTATTGGAAATATTCCAAATATTTTCTAACTTTCTTTCTCGCTCTCTAGCGAGATTTGCTTGATGCAAATGCTTGCTCGCAAACTTCGCATTGGAAATACTCCAATAATTTCTTACTTTCTTTCTCGCTTTCTAGCGAGATGCTCGCAAACTTCGTATTGGAAATAT